TAGGGGGAAACAGCTGTTCTGCCTGTAAGATGGTTTTTGTTTTTTGGTAGAGTCTGATCTTATTTGCCCTCTGTTAAGGGACAAGGAGAGAATGAACAGGCTGCTTTTCTTAAACAGGCACAAAGATGTAATAAAGCCCAGCAGGCTAGGATAACAAAATTTGCCCTAATTAAAATCTGTGTCCGGAAAAGCACATCACAGAATGCTGTGATTTGATTTATTTTGGCTTCTGTAATTTAATACTTTTTGTTTTACTCACTGTGCTGCAACAACAACTGTGAAAATTCTAAACATTTTCTGGATTGATCTCAGTTGTTCAAGGTTGAAGCCACTCTACATAATATATGGGAGGAGGTGGATTAATAATATTCCTGACTGGAAAATGCAGAGGAAGTTGTGATGGCCATAAAATAAATTTCAAAAGCTGTGTTGTGGGGATACCTATAAAGAAAGCCACTCTACATAATATATGGGAGGAGGAGGTGGATTAATAATATTCTTGACTGGAAAATGCAGAGGAAGCTGTGATAGCCATAAGATAAATTTCAAAAGCTGTGTTGTGGTGATACCTATAAAGATAATTATTATCTGCTGTCAAGTCTTGACTTGAGAACTTAATCCGTATTGGAAGGCGGTTCTCAAGTCAAAAAGTCTGTAAGTCAAGTCTCCATTGACCTACAGTGCATTGAAAACCGATTAATCCCGTAACAGGCCGTTTTTGTTCCATTCTGGTTTTTTTCTGGTCTGTAAGTCAAATCTCAGTCTGCAAGTCAAACCTAAATTTTGCGGCCAGAGAAGTCTGTAACTCAAAAAGTCTGTAAGTCAAGCCGTCTGTAAGTCAAGGGTCCACTGTATTATTATCTGCTGTCATGTTGACTCCAACTTATGGTGAACCTTTTCACTGTTTTCTATGAACTTGGTTCTTAGACATGGTTTACTTTTCCCTTTTCCCTTTTTCAGACCAACTAAAAGGGAACAAAATTCTCTGTGCAAACTTTCAAGGCAAAAGATGACTTTATAATTCTCAAAAATAATAAAAAGAGAGAGAAAGACCAAGAGACTTATATATATATTCAGTATCTATTTAATTGGCCTGATGGAAGGTACCACCATAAAATGGATTTTGGACTCTACTGTTCTACTTTAGACTCTGTGTGGATTTTTAATGTTATTCCTATATAACAAAAACCTCCATGTATATAATTAAAGCGGACCTTTCTTTTATGTTATTTCATTTGCAGAGTTGGCTGTACCATTAAGCAAAGCTGACTCAGGCAGCAGATCTTCTTGGATGGCGTTGTTAGGATTCCACCCTGCTTGCCTCTCTTAAAGAATAAGGTTTCCTCTCTTAAAGGATAAGGTTGCACATGCTATACAGCCTGTTCTGTTCCCTAGATAAGGCTGCTTCTGTCAACTACAATGGAGAATGAAGCTGAATTATCAGCATTGAAGTAAGAGTTAACTATTCATCCAGTCAGCTTCTGTCTGAGCAGCAGAGGAACCAGCATCTTGTCCTTTGCCTCTGACAGCAAAATGTCTTGGATCTGACCTGTTCATTTGGGGGAAGCATTTAAAAAGATGATGTTCATTTTTCCTGCAGTCTGAGCTGGTGCTGCCCACTTCTCCATACTTTGAAAATCAAATCTTCATTTGTTTGCTTTTTAGTTGATATCATTCCCTGGGGATCACCTTCTTTACTAATGTACCTTGTGTAGCAGTTTTAAGGAGGATGTATGCTTACACATCAGCAAAGAGCAACCTGTACATATCACCACCAAAGAGGACAGCAGTTTAGATAAAATGTACATTTTAAAAATGTTTCCTAAAATTTTAGATTAGGCATCCTTCAGTCTCGAGAGACTGTGGTAATGTGCTCTGTATGGAGGACTTAGAACAGCGTCTAGTGTGGCTGAGGAGACCAATTCGAGAGTGACAATCCCTTCCACACTGAAGACAAATACAGTCTGTCCCTGTCCAGCTCCCTGATTTTGCTGGTTTTGGGACTGCCTCTTTGCCTTGGCCTGCTGGACAAGTGTCTCTTCAAAATGGGAGAGGCCATGATGCACCGCCTTACTCCAGGCTGAACGCTCAGATGACAAGGTTTTCCATCTGTTGAGGTCCATTCCTAAGGCCTTCAGATCCCACTTGCAGATGTCCTTCTATTGCAGCTGTGGTCTCCCTCTGGGGTAATTTCCCTGTACTAATTCTCCATAAAGGAGATATTTTGGAGTCCGACCACCAGCCATTCTCACGACATGCCTGAGCCAACGTAGACATCGCTGTTTCAGTAATGTATACATGCTAAAAATTCCAGCTCGTTCTGGGACTGCTCTGTTGGGAACTTTGTCCTGCCAGGTGATACCAAAAATCAGTCGGAGGCAAGACATATGGAACGTGTTCAGCTTCCTCTCCTGCCGTGCACAAAGGGTCCAGAATTCACTGAAGTACAGGAGTGTGCTCAGGACACAGGCTCTATAGACCTGGATCTTGGTATATGCTTTGGCTTCTTATTAAGTCATACTCTCTTTGTGAGTCTTGAAAACATGGTAGCTGCTTTGCCAATGTGTTTATCCAGCTCAGCATTGATTGTTAGTCCAAAGTCTTGGCAGACCTTGCTAAAACAATTCTTGAGTTGTTGGTGTCTTTAGGAGAACAACAGCTGCATCATCAGCAAAGAGGAAGTCCCGCATGCATTTCAGCTGGTCTTTGCTCTCAATCTAGAGAGATTAAAGAGCTTTCCATCTGATCCAGTCCGGAGATAGACACCTTCGGCTGCAGTTCCAAAAGCATGCTTCAGCACGACAACAAAAAAGATCCCAAACAGGGTTGGCATGAGGGCACAGCCCTGTTTCACTCTGCTTCAGATGTCAAAGGGATCTGATGTTGAGCCATCAAAAACTACAGTGCCCTTCATTCCCTCATGAAAGGACCTGATGATGTTGAGGTGCCGAGGTGGACATCCAATCTTGGGAAGTATTTTAAAAAGGCCATCCCTGCTAACCAAATCAAAGGCCTTTGTAAGATCTATGAAGGCCACAAAGAGTGGCTCTTGTTGTTCCCTACATTTCTCCTGCAACTGTCTGAAGGAAAATACCATGTAAGTGGTGGATCTATTAGCTCAAAATCCACACTGTGATTCTGGATGGACTCTATCTGCAAGCACCTGGAGTCTCTTCAGCACAACATGGGCAAGCAGCTTCCCTACAATGCTGAGAAGAGAGATGCCACAGTAGTTATTGCAGTCACCCCCGTCGCCTTTATTCTTATACAATGTGATGATATTTACATCCTTTATGTCCTGTGGTACTCCATGTTTCCTCCAGCAAAGACAAAAGATTTGCTAAAATTACTGTCATCTGAATAAGAATGCAGATTATTGCAATTTCAGGTGATCTGCATACCTACTCAGTTTGTTGTACAGGAGATGGTTGTTGATATGAAGCTTCCCTTCCTTTTCTCTCTCTTTAAACTGCACTTGAACTGGAAGTGTATCTGATAAAGGATGCCTTAAAACAGAGGACTGTCCCCTGCAAAGTAAGAGAAACACCCTAGTTTCTGGAGTAGTTTCAAAAAGGAGTAAAACATAGATGCCCATCACCACCTTTTTTAAAAAGACATCTATTTATGAAAGGAACTTGGTGGAGGTAGAGATTATTTTTATTTTAAAATGATGGTCTGTATTAAAAATATCAATTTTGTGATTGATTGTGATGTCACTGGGGACTTGCAAATTGATGAAGCCTAGAGATCTTCCTTCCTTCCTTCCCAAAATCTTTCATGCTGGTGCTAGTCTCAGCTGTCGTACGCCAAGAGACATCTGCAGACACTTATCTTTTTGTATGTGTGCTTTGCATCAGTGGCATTCAGCTATCATTTATCATGTTGAAAGAGTATGATCGTTCATTGGGACAAGGCTTCTTAAAGGTTGCAAAGCCCTGCTTCTGTATTTCTGCCAACAAATGGTAGCCATTGTAACCTTTGAGCGGCAAGCTATCAAGACAGGCACCATGGTTCCTGTGTCCTGACATCTCATTAATGCATAATCAGGAAAGGGATGGACTGATAATTCTCCCACCACTGTAATATATTTTGGATCCCAGATGTGGCAAACCAAATTACCATTGCTGCTAGTGAAAAGTGTAGTGGTAACCACTTGTGGGAGGTTGTATGTGTGTGGCAAAGCTGACTGGCAAGCTGAAACTGAGAAGCTGCCAAATCCCTGGTTTGTTTCTTGGTGCATGTACAACTCCCACATTGATGTATTATGTATGTCGCTTCCTTTTCATCAGTACTGATGCTGTTTATATGCCAGGTCATGTCAGAGGAAACTCCACAGAGCCTGATTTGTGTGATAAGATGAGTAGCTGCTCTGATGGTTTATCTCTTTAAACCAAGCAATTCAGTGTAACAATTCTATATGTGCTCCTACTTGCTGATTGTTGATTTCTTGGGGTAAGCCTCTAGGATAGGAACAGATTATAGACAGCAACAACAGGTTAAAGCTTGTATGTGTACATCAGGTTGTTACTTATCAGTCAAAGGCTGACTATAATTTCCATTTCTGATATTTACATGTGTAAAATGTGATTATTATTTTTTAAAAAGAATAAATTGCTATAGAAGTAGCTCCTTTCAGGAGAAAGGAAGGGAATGTACACTTTCAGCTTGCCTGCATCGGAGAAAAACAATGTGGGAACTTTTTGGTGTTTGTTTTGTTCCTAATATTTGCTGGGACAAAAGACTAACCCAATGGCATGCTTTTCGGTCTGGTTAATTTTTGTTTTGTTTTGCTTTGTTAATGGATGGCATTGGCAGTGCCACTTACTGTATATCCATTGCTGCCACGCATCATCCAATGCTGGGTGATTTTCCACCACCTGGAAAATCATTTGTTTGACCAACTCTGCAGGGCTTAGTGAATCATCAGCTAGAAGGCAAAGTGCTCTTCAACCAGAGCCACTTAATTAATGCATGGTCTTTCTCTCTTTATGTTTCCCCAGCCATAATGAAAGACGGAACACTTTTCTTCACCCAGTGACTGGCCAGATCCCAGAAGAGAACAACCAGTTTGACTTGCAAAGGTATGTTATTTGAACTGGTTTACCATTGAGGACATACACTGGTAATTATGAAGGAACAGAGTGATAAATGCCGATGGGTCATAAATGCCAACTGTGATCCTGATAACACAGATCTTCAATTTTCCCCAACATTTTGCTCCTGCACCTTTATTGCTCTTCCCTTCTACCTGTCTTCTCTGTCTTCACTTCACCCAGTTCACCCTCCTCCCCTTTTTTCACCTCCCTACCATCCATCCGTAATACACTGTGATCACACTATCCCAAAGCCTTCGAGTTTCAGCTGGTCAGTTTCATTGCATCACAATCTTCTCCTTCATTATTTCCCCCCATTTTTCTGCTTTTGTATTATAGTTGTAGAACAGTATGTGAAACTTTCCTTGTGATTGACATCATTGTTGTTGCCATTAGTACTCTGTTGCTAATTCCACACAAGTGTTGGTGTGACACATGAAATGCTTTGTACTGTATCAAAAGTGTCATGCTTAACAAATGTTCACTTTGATTACTTCCATGGATGCAGCTTTTTCAGGAATTATACATTGTGCTGGATCCATCCCACTATGTAAAGAGTGGATTATCTTTACTTGGTTTATGTTCTCAGAAAACAATAATCAATGGGAGGAGACTGCTACAAAGTGTTTACTTACATTCCAAACATGAGAAATGGAAACACAAGATTTTGGTATTCAGAAACATCGACCATGGCGTTCCAGGGTTCCTATGTGCATAGTTTAAAACACTGTGATAAAGAAAGACAAAATGAAGTCACAACCAACATCCTGGTGCTTTTATATATGGCATGTATTCTTGCTTCAGACTGATTTCAAATTAATTTGAAGAACTGGAAGATGATGGAAGAAGGAAATGGGATATATGTTGCTGTATGGAAATTATTCCAGATTAGTTTAAGAACCAGGAAGAAGGAAGAGGGTGACAGACAAAGCTTTATTGTTGGAAACCAAACAGATGGAAGCAGCACTGAGCATTGGAGCAGTGGGGAAGTGACCAGTAGAAACACATCTACAAGGAAGCACCATTAGCATGGATCAGCATAGCTCAAAGTGGTATTAGATTCCACACAAGCAGGTTGGAGGAATTCAGTACAAAACCTGTAGGTGCAAAAAAGAACCTGAGAAAGTGATGCTATTTGTTTTCCTTTGACACCCTTCAGCTTCTGTTCATGTGGATACCAGGAAAAGGAGCTGTGTGATAGGTTAAAAGAAAGTTGGACAAGTAGTTGGTGTGGACAAGCCCTAAAACAGCAAATAAGCATTTCATTTTCCCAACCAATTCAGCTGAACAAAGAATGATGCAGATCTGCTGTCAGAGAATACCTGGTGTACAGTATGTGTACAAAGATTTACACAATATAAATAATCCTTGATTTAAGCTGATGCAAAGACACTTAATTGTTTTCAATTAATTACTAACAAGAGACCAAAGCATGTGTACATGTCTGATTGTTTGTGTCAAGATGTTGTATCTGAGGTAAAGATGGTCATATGCTTCTCCTCTCTCTTGCTCCTTGATCCTAGCTCTGCCTTGGACATGTCCAACAAAGCAAGCAACAAGCGGCCTGCAGCAGTCAACAGTGAACCATCCAATCACACTATGGTTTCAGAGGTACCTCAAGAACGACCAAATGGCAGGGTATGCTTAGTACACCCTAGGTAGATCCCTGATTCTTTTCTCCCTGAAGCTGTGCTCTGCTCTTCATGGCTGCCCATATTATCTGAGTTCCAGATTTCTCTGCCTGAATTATGTTTTCCCATCTGTGAAATATCTGGGCCAGACCTGGTCTATTGCAAATCTGGATCCAACCCTATGTATGTTTGTACTGTTCTTCTTAGAGCTAGCTGTATTTTCTGAGGAATTGGGAAAGAGAATTTCTGTACTGCCTCATGTCAAATGCTGTTAGTTTTATTTAAAACTAATATTTGCATTTGTCTCCTACCTTTCCCCAAGTGAGCTCAAGACAGTGCACAGGGCTCTTCTCCATCCATAATTTATTATCTCAAGAACTCTATGTGGTATGTTGGGCTGTGAGATTGTGACTACCTTGAGGTCACCCAGTGAGTTCCACAGCTAGGTGGAGATTTGAACCCAGATCTCTTGAGTTATATTCCATTACTCTAACCAACATATCATACTGTCTATCAACTATTTTTGACTTACACTGAATTTGGAGAGACGCTGTCAGTGATGAGTCTCTCAAACATTTCTCTTTACTTTCCCAAAGGCCTCACGTTCCTCCAGGAAGGGGATTGCTTTCGGAAAACGCTCCAATTCTATGAAAAGGAATCCCAGCGCCACAGTAACCAAGAGTGGCTGGCTCTACAAACAGGTAACCTTTTCCTCACAGACGTGTTTGTGTTGTCAGCAGAGATGGAACATATTTGGCATTTTGGATTTCAAGGACTAGAACCCCACAACTAGTCTGATATTATGCTGGGGGATACAGTGTGAAAACAAATAGTTCCTCTCTTTGTTTCTGAAAGATAATTCTATGTGTGGCCTGATGCAGTTATTCCACATGTGGGTGTCATTTTCCCTTCAGTATCACTAGTCAGCTTGCATCACCCAGGACAAGCAAGAAGCTGTCCTTTTGTGAACCCATATGACTTTTTCTTCCTTACATTAGTTTCCTTCAGACATTGTGAAGTGAGCTTTTTGATTCAGAGTGAACTACTATCTAGCTGTCTAATCGAGGCTTTTCCCCCTCAGAAGCACCATGTTGAACATGGAGAGAGAACTTTTAGTCCATGACCATATAGGGATCCCCATCTAATCTGCAAGATTCTTCTGTTGTTATCTATTTAAAGCCTAGGAAACTATTGCATGCAACTGAGGGTATCGATGATGATGATGTGCCACCAGGAAATAGATCACAATTTGGACCATTTATAGAGTGTGGTGCAATCGATTTCCTGGCCATTGCATGACATACAGAGAAATGCTCTTTAGCCCAGTCCTGACTCATGCCCAAGCTACACTTTTTTGGCCCAACTGTATGGCTTGTACTTTTGGGGGGCAGGCTGGAGCAATTCCCTCATGGACAGAAGGGTCACTTTTAGAGAGATGCTCCTATTAGAATGACCCTTTCTGATGTGATCAGGCTCACACTTTTGCAGCTACTTGATCATACCCTTAGTCTCTTATTGGCAATCCCAGAAGGTGCAAAATATATGGTTAGATTCTTTGAGATGCACTGGAATTGGACTATTTTCCACAATATCACACACACTAAAATAAGAGAAACTGCTATTCCACCTTACACTTTGGTGGGATCGCCACATGACTTCAGTGGCCTTCTTTCACATCCCACCTGGAAGCCTGCTCAAAGAATTCTCCTGCTTATGCTGAGCTTAGCCTCATTTATGCCCTATCTCTGTGGTAGTTCTGCAGTTCTGGGTTGCTTGAAGTGCTGTGCATGCTGTGGCAATGATTTGCTTTCAACCTCTCTTTACAGGCCAGCTCTGGGGTAAAGCAATGGAACAAGCGCTGGTTTGTCCTAGTGGACCGCTGCCTCTTTTACTATAAAGGTATGTAGCTGAACAGAAGTCTGGAAAAACATACCAGGAGGAGGGAAGATTAGCCTAACTGTTGATGAATAGCATTGTTGCTCTGGGGAGGAGAGGAGCCCATTTCTTTTCTGATGTGTATGAGTAGTTTGGTCTTGTGATGAAGCTCATAATCCTATATCTTTTTTTAAAAGTTTTTTTAGAATGTCAAGGAATTTGAAAAATCATAGATAGACACAAGCACAATTTGTGGCACATCTTGTAGTGATGTCATAGTACATGGCCAGTAGGTGCCTGCACCACTAGGAAAGGAAAAAAAATCCCTGACAGTCATTCTTATTGAGAAACCTGGCTTCTTTGCTGAATTGGGTTGGAAGCAAAGTCTTGTTGTCGCTGTGGTTCAATTCCCGACCTTACTAAAATAACTGGATAGTGATGGCCAATAAAAAATGTGTGGGCCACAACACTTTCAAAGCCAGTGCTTCCCATCAGTGGGATATGTAGCATATTCCAGTCTGCAGATACATGGAAAATGCCTTTGGAGGATATAGACTTTTAGCCCTCTCCACCCCAGCCAACATCTAATACTTCTGCCTTTCTGTGTTCCTGAGCACTGCCAAACGCTGTCCTTCCAACAATACTGGTTGAACAGAGGCCTTAATGGATGGCAATGTTGGCCTTAATTGATGCTTTGCCACTGTGGGTTCTCTCAGCGCCCTGCTGTCTGGGCCTCCTCCTCCTCGGCAGTGTGCCTAGAAGGCAAGCATGAATAATTAACTGGGCAGTATTGTGAGCTGCCAGGGTAACTGATAGGGGTGGAGGTGTATGAGAGCACTTGTGTGTCCAAGATGGAGAGAATAACAGGCACAGGTGTCTTGGGAAGGAGAGCCATCTTCTACAGGTAGATCAATGCGTGAGGGCAACAGTTTTGTTTTGTTTGGCTCTCAAGACTCCAGCTTTCATTTCATGAGCGAGGAACATTGTGCTGTGCTCTGTGGTTGTTACTTGCTCTGTATCTGTCTTGTTCGCTGGGAGGCCCCAATGTCTTTCTCTAATTCTTTCATCTCATGCCTTTCTTCATGCAGATGAGAAAGAGGAAAGTGTCTTGGGCAGCATCCCACTTCTCAGCTTTCGGGTTGCAGCAGTCCAGCCGTCAGATAACATCAGCAGGAAATACACCTTTAAGGTTAGTAAATGGCTGGTGAACTGCACAGAAGTAGCCTGGCATCCATAGATGGAAATCTAAAGAGGTAGGACTGAAAATTGGCACCTGTTCTGCCATAGTTGTGTGATGAAAGTAAAAATGATGCAGAAGCTGGTTGTATTAAGATCTAATCTGGCCCTCTGGAGCAATGGACTCTGTTGCCTTTTTTTGCAAGATGGCTGTTCCTCTCTGACACTTGAAGGCAGCTATTGTATCATCCCTTCTCTGTTCCAGGTTGAACTATTCCCCAGTTTAAACATGCCCAGTTCTTTCAATCATATAGGACTTTGTTTTCAAATCTCTCTCTGTACTGATCATTCTGATGGTAGTTATGTTGAGCAGGGATGGCCATAGGCTGTATAGCATTCTATCCAGAAACAGTAAGCAGCAGCTTCGAGCCTGAGCTAACCCTTTGATGCAAGCACAGAGATGTCTGGAGGGACCGTTAATGCTTTTACTCTTTCCTGCCTGCAGCTGTTCTGCCAGAAAAAGATGCCTATGGTGCAAGCAGGCTGAACCACCTTGGTTCTTTGGACAGGGAACCGAGCTGCTTCTGCTGCTGCAGATTCTATTTCCCTTCATGCTCTCCCATGCGGTCCCTACAAAACTGCCTGGGAGAGCTGTTCACGCCCTCTAAACAAAGCACTGATAATGGGCTGAGGAGGGAGGCTTTTTGGCCAAAAGGGAAAAGCGTGGCAGCTAAAGTGCATTATTTCTGGATGTTTGACTGCAGTCCCTCAAGCTTGCTGTAGGGACTTTGAGGCAGTTTCTGAGCCTAGGCATCTTGTGGGAGAAGCGTGCCTGTTGTTGACTGACATGTTTACAACAGAGACTTTGTACTAGACATTCAGTGTGGAGAGCCAAAGGAACGCTTCCTGTCCCTGTTGACTAAAAGCTGACCTTGCCACGGCAGTTGGGTAGGTAAAAAAAGGAAGAAAGATGGAAGGGACAATCTCCCTGAGCTTGTCTGTACTTTGGGGGAAAAAGCCCTTTGTTTATGCTGAAATGTTTTGGCCAGGATTTGCCACACTGCTCCCCTCCTTTAAAGGGATAACTCCTGTGCAGAAGAGTGGAGGAGGAATATTGATTTCGGAGGGGGGGGGAAGAGAAAACCAGGCAGCCTCCCCAGCTTCAACATCCTGATATAATGAACTATAACTCCTATCATCCATATTCAGAGACTATGCTGGATGAGAATGATGAGAGTTCTAGACCAACACATCTACAGGACACAAAAAATGAATACAGCTTTGCTTAAAAGCAAAGTAGTTTTTAAAAGTGTTGTAAGGAATGGAGGAGTGTGTATGGGAATGTCTTTTTCACTAGTAACATTCATCATATTTGTAGATTGTCTAGTTCTTTTTCCAATACTCCTTGGATAGCTCAGTGGTTTAGGTATCTGGCTGTGGAGCCAGAGGCTGAGAGTTCAATCCCCCACTGTGCCTCCTTGACAGGGAATGATGATCCATAGGGTCCCTTCCAACTTTTCTGTTCTAAGATTCTAAGAAGATAATGATCTTCCCATGTAATGATAAACTGTAAAGGCAACAACTGTACTGATGGAGATTACGCCTGAGTGAGTATTTGAATCTGGATCTCTGTGGTCCAGATCTAACACTCTAAGCACTTCACTATAGCAAAGCTTGGAAAAATGCCTCTCTTGGACTACAGCTCCCAAAATCCCCCAGCCAAAATTGTGTTAAGTAAGTGGTTGTGGGAACGTAGTCTTAAAAAAGAGTTCTCAAACACTCTCCATAACACAGACTCTGTTCCATGCATCCTGTACCCAGGAGGTAGCTAGCTTTGGCCACAGTCACCAAGGAGATGTAATGAGAAACTGAATTTAACTCTTTACTAGGGTTCATTCTCTGCCTTGTTTTTAATTCTTTGTTCCTCTAAAAAGAATAAAAGCTTCAGAGTGCTTGTGCCTTAAGAGAGCTGCCTCAATGTGGAGTGGAGTAATTAGGTTACCTTCAGTCTCAGACCTGCAAGACGCTTCCCTTTCATATCTCCTTCTTTGGCTAGCTTCAGTGAATATGGAAAAGAAATAAATTGCAATTGACTTAGAGATCATTAATTTCTAGAAGTCAGGTTCCCATGGTGTGAGCGGAGTTCAGTCTCAAGGAGCAGTGAGCTTAATTACGGAATACAAACATGGGCAGCAGAGATGGACGGGGTATATGTAGGCTGTCCAGATCTCCTCCTACAAGATCAAATTACTTTTACCTCCTGCAAGTTCTGTAACACACACACATGCATTCATTTCTAGATAATGTATTAAATATACATTTGTTTTGTGCATATATGATTAAATACACATGCAGCAGTAGCAGCAATAGAGGTGTGCGGCTCCCACTGTTCCTTTCACTCTTGCTGCTGCTCTGGTTGTCTCCTGGTGCACACACTTATGCACCTCATTTTTAAAGATAAAGGTGGCCTTTCTCTGTCACTGCCCCGTCACTGTATATGATCCCAGTAGGTTTCAGGTGGCAAAATGTAGTGACTGGACCTGTAAACATTGCCCATCCTGATACAGAGAGTCAACAGCTTTCAAACATTTGTATGCTCAAATCTATGCACCCTGTCTCTTTTTTTTCAAATAAAGGACATTAACCTTCTAAACCAGAGACAGATAACCTGGTTACTTCCAGGCATTTTGGACCACATCTGCCATAATCCCTGACCGTGTTACTTGGGACTTGTAGTAAATGCACAGCAAAACATCTGGAGATCACTAGGAGGTTGCTCATGTCTGCTCTATTGTCAGACAAACTGCATAATATTCCTTGTTTAATTTTCCTAAGTTTGGAGTTGTGATGGATAATGCAGAAGAGAGTAGAAAAGGTATATTCCCACCAGTGATTCTTTAGAGGTCTTCTCTGCCATGCCTAAAAATTAAAAATCTTATCACAACTCATAAAGTTAAGTTGCATGCATTCCTTTCTCCCTCAATATCTCTTCTAGTGTTGTTGACAAACTGCTTGTTGGAGAGCCATGGTAAAGCTCTATACAGATATCTCACAGATTTGCTATACAGTTCATTAATTGTTACAGTCAATGGTGAAAGAGGGGTAGTCAAAACTACTGATAGTCAAAACTCAGTAGTCAGTAGTCGAAACTACTGATAACATTATTCTCTTTACAAATCTGCCTGCTTGCCCCATAAAAGGCAAGAGGAAAAATGTATGGGTAAGAGGCTTGGTAGCTCCAAGCAAAACACATGAGCTTTGAAGCATGCCTTTCTGGCTCATGAAGGGCTACAAGGAGGGGCGTTCTTTTCTCTCTCCATGATATTGCCTTGTGCTTGCCCTCTGGACAGCTCCTCTGGCCCCCCCGTGGTGTCAGAGAGATTGTGAGCTCCCCATCTCCCAAAGCAAAGGTCAGTTTGTACCATAAATATTTTGTTTTAAGCATCTTTGCAAAGATCTTCCTGAGCTGGATTATGAGGAAAGGTGGCATTTGATACAGGTAGGTGGTTTGTACTCACTTGAACCTGGAGATACCTTTAAGAACCTTGTGTTCACAATCTGCAGTTACACTGAAGAAACCATTGGTATGATGGGCCCTGAATTGATTAGGCATCTGGGAAAGGGACTTTTATAACTGGATCAGAAGCATGGTTATGAATGTGTTCCACAGAATTAATTAGAACTACTAAGTATGTATTAAGATTTCAGCCTTAGCTATAGAAGAATAAAACTTTCCTCAAATAACAAACAAGTGCTGCTTTCAGTAGTTTTTCTTGTTGTGTTTGGCAGCAAGATAGAAAGGAGCCAAGTTTTGTTGCTTCCATGATTTATTCCTTTGTTAATTAAGAAAAAGGGTTGGATATCCAACCCAAAAAGGAACCTGATTTGCTTTTTTCCCTTTGTTTGTTAAGAAAGGTGACTAGACTTCCATCCCATTTTTTAAAATACCTTGTAACCGAATAGTTAGACTTAGATATTCATAGATGTATAGACTTGCAGAGCATTGTTACTTTCCTTAATCCAGATTTATAGAGCAGTATTGTCTATGGCATATCCTGCTGCTATAGTTTTTGCATACCCACTTTCTCCCTTGAATAGCAAGAATTCTGCCTTAGCGGTGTTTCATTGTTTCAGAATATGGCCTCTTTCAAGACCTGGTGCAGTTAATTTTAGGTTCAGAAAGCTCTGAGCATGTGCCTAGTTTGGCTTCAGCTATCCTTCCCACAGTGACCAGCTCTACTCCTGCTATGCTCCACCCGCTTGATACTCCTCTCCATTGGTTTGCTTGTTGGGTTTGGCTGACCTATTCTCTGTCTTCCCTCTTTTTCCGTGTGAGGATCCCTCGGACAGGAGATCTCTTCTGATAACCTGCCTGCAAGGCCATCACTCAGGCACCAAATAGGTAGTATTTTGCTTCCATTTCCAAATGCATGCATGCCAGAAAGGAAAGATCAAATCTGCATGAGTGCAAATTGTCCTGCATGCTTTATTTACCTCCAATCATTCCTGAAGCAGGGTGGGGAAATTCTGGCTTTTTTTGTATGGCTGGCCAAGCACTTAGAAATTTTTGAGCCATGGAAACTGGTTGAAATGCAGAGGTATGTATGCATAACCCAGTAGAGAAGCCGACAATCCAAATGTATCTGCCTCATATGCTTTATTTTTGGACAAACAATGAATTTTACCTTGATTCATGATGCACAGTGTTCTACAAAATGTCGACCAGGAAAGCAAGTATCTTATAAGAGCACTTGGCTGAAGAGTGGCAACTGATCATTTATTATTTATTTATTTAAAATATTTTTATCCCACCTTTCTCCGTAAAAGAACCCAAGGTGGCTTACATCATTAAAAATACAGTATTTAAAAGCTAGAAACAGTAAGTATACAAATATTTAAAAAATGGCCATGCTCTGTTCCTACTCCAGTCCTCTGAAGATGCCGGCCACAGAGACTGGCGAAACGTCAGGAAGGATAACCTTCAGAACACGGCCAAAGAGCCCAAAAACCCCACAACAACCATCAAATCCCAGCTGTGAAAGCCTTCAAGAATAAATTAAACAATGCATGAATTAAATCATGAGCCAAAGTGGATGGGCAAGCATCTAAAGTATGCTATATGATCTCTGCTGCAAAATATTTGAATGAAATAACAATATCAACAAATATATTTAGCAGAAGAAAAAGCAGATTATATTTCTGCTACTCTCCAGATGCTACTTGTGACATGTGATTGCCTTTTTATAATTTTTAATTTCTCTGTATCAGAGCTCTTATGAAAGTGCACCAGTGGTTTCCCATGTTTGTAAAGGATATCTTCCTAGTGTCAAATAAATACAGGTGGATAGCAGCCAAAACAAGTGAATGTATTCACCAAAAGTAAAAACTTTGGAAAACATTCAGCATGTTCAAGAAGTTCTTTCTTTCCTAGGTTTTGTCATGAAAATAAATTTAAATATTTAGGAACTAGTTCCAATGTCACAAAACAGCAGGCCCCTATTATGTCAAAGGCAATCTCCTCCCTTGATTCGCAACAAGAAGCTCTAACTGACCAACTTCTACCCTGCACATTCAGTCCCCTCTCTGCCATCACCAGTGACTTTTCGTTTCTCTTCCTATGGAAATTCATTATGAAAGCACACCAGTGGTTTCCCATGTTTGTAAAGGGTGACGCAGTTCAGTCTTTGGAGGATTGATGGAGATACTCCTCTTGTTTCTGTCCACAGTTAGGACTGCTGATATTGGCTTAACTGATACTCCAGAGAATATTAGGGAACACTAATTAATTCCCCAGCATGACATGCACATACATATTTCCACTGATCAAACAGGGAGAGAACCATTTTGAAAGAGATTCTTGCATGCTATTCCTCTCCCGTGTATGGTCCAACACATGTAAAGAAATGTACTGTGGCAGAAGGGGATATACACCTATCTACCACCGAGGATGCTTGCATGCTGCTGGGAGGGGCAAAGGGGGTCGTTATCTCTCAAACAGGCATTATAAGATGGCCATGCATCTGACTCTCTTTTTAAAAACTGTCAGAATATAATAATCGGTTTGAAGATGTCTGCTGTTTGGAGAAGCATCAAGTCCAAATCCAGTATAAAAAGCAAAGAACCAAAATAAACAGGGAGAGTAGAAGCCTTGAAATTTCCCATAAAGGAGCAGGCACACAACATATGTGCTCACATATCTCCCCAACTATGCCGAGATATATTGTATTTCTTTCATTTGTATCAATGATTCCCCGATGTGCAGATCTACACAAGGCACAAATGTTATGCAATTGAATATTCCATGCTCTCCTTTTGAGGACCCATGTGTAAATAGCCACCCCAAGGCGATTCACCCACAGTGTCCCACTGTGTCATTCAGGAACCGAAACTCATCTCCCTACATTCTAGGATTTATAGTCTTTCTCATCCTTGAAGCATTTAGTGTACAAACAAACATCAGTGGTCATTTAGCTATATAACTTTTCATTTCGATTTTGCTCAGCTCACAAACTGGAAATAGAAATTAGTTGAAATGGTAGCATACTCTTCATATATTGTCTGTGCTAGATAGGAATATTATCAAGGGGCTGGGGAAGGCATAATGTCTCCCATCATTCCTAGTAAACTAATACTTTAGAAGCGACCTGGGTATCTCACTCTCCTCACTTCTTTCCCTCTCTCTTTCTCTGCCTCCCTCTCCACCTCCTATATAGGTGACTGTGTGCTGGATGGAAGAGGCACCAGGAAATAACAAGAAGTCACTCTCTCCTCAGGCTGAGCACGCTGGCATTCGAACTTACTTCTTCAGTGCTGAGAACAGTGAAGAGCAGGAATCCTGGATCCAAGCCATGGGGGAGGCTGCCCGGGTGCAAATCCCACCCACTCAGAGGTCAGCTGCTATATGTGGGACTCAGCCTAGTACTATAGGTCCCTGGTGAACATATGAAGCTGTGCCATGTACTGAGTCAGACCACTCTCCAGAATGTGAGACAGGGATCTTTCCTAGTGCAATTTAGAGTTGACGGATGTGGTCTGGTCCTGAGCCATGGCCCCTTCCAAACTATGGCATTAAAGTTAGGAGAGGACAATTGGTATTGGGCTGTATCTTTGAAAAAAGAGCTAGGATTGAATGTTTAGGTTCATTTGGATTATGGTAAAATCAATGAAAGGTGGTACAAATGAATGGCAGGTAGGGAGGCACTAACCTGGTATTTTGGAAATCTGATTTTCATTCACTGCTCTGTTGGTGAAGATTAGTTCAATTCCAACTGCATGGCTTCTCAGTCCCTCCCATAAGAGAGTGATTCCTCTGAAGTTACTTAGAAGGTTTAGATCTCTGCAGAAGAGATGTGAAACTACTTTGAATGGATACTTTTCAAAGAAGTGTGATATTTGAGGAAATACAGCCTTGATGCCTTCAAGCAATATGGAAATGCAAGGATTTTTTTTGGTTTCTGTCTTAGCTTAAAAAGTCATATTACAATTGCAAAGTTAACAGTGATGTGCCAGTAAGTGACTGATAGAACCCATTATAGCCTAGAACTCCTTGTCTAAGATGTGTTGAAGCAGAGCCGTGACTATTTGTGAACTTTTCTACTTACCCAAGGCATGAGAAAACTGATTCTGAGAACATCCCTCCTAGCAAGAACCATCCACATCTCCACTACCGCAGCATTCCAGTCAGGGAGGCTACCAAAGCAGAGCCAGAGGCCAAGACCAGAGGAGAAGGTGATGGGCGTGGTTCTGAGAGGACTGAAAGGAAACAAGAGCGAACAGAAAGCAAGAAGGAGTCACTGGTGAAAGCCAATGGCATTGTCAGTCAGGAAATGCCCTCGGAGCCTGGAAGCCCTTATCCAGAAGATCCACGGGTACCATCTGGAGGGGAGAGGCCCATCCAGCCAAATGGCTGGCAGTACTCATCTCCTAGCCGACCTGGGAGCATGGCCTTCCCACAGCCTGATAGTGAGACTGTGATGCCTCGGCGGAGCTTTGCTCCTCGCACCAATCCTGAAAAGATTGCCCAGAGGAAGAGCTCCATGACACAGCTACAGCAATGGGTGAACCTGCGTCGTGGGGCTCCACCTCCTGAGGATCTCCATAGGTGAGGTGTCAAAATGCTTGAGTATACCTTCCCTCACAATTAAATAGGGAGGAAATGTAAGGAGCCCTACTAAACACAAAAACAAGGAATTGTGTACACTACATGGTTAAATTAAGATAATGGTTTTACCACTTTTCAGACTAATTACATGGGATCAGGGTCACCAAAACTATCAGCATCCTTGAAGAAGTATTTTTATGATATCCATGTGGAGTGCTAGAACATCTGAAGTTATTTCCAGCATCTTCACAGGTCACATTGGGGCAAACCTATTTAAAAAACTTTGGTTTATAGTTAGTGTTCCCATACCCAGAGGGAGAGAGAGAGACTTTCAAAGCAGTAGAGATGTCAATCCATTCCAGTAAATATAATAAGAACAAAAACAAAACAAAAATAAAGACAAAAGTATTATGGCATCTTGAAGATAAGCAGATTGATTTCAGTGTAAGTATTGATGGATTACTGATCACATCCTCAGACTCATGCAGCATAGTAGTTAGGCCATAGGTTTGTATGCACAAAGTAGGGTGGAGACCAAGACAGATGGGAGAAAAAGAGTGAGATTTACATTACTAAGGACAGTGGTATTATTAATACCAATAATGATCATTCAAAGTATTGAATAAATAAGCAATTAGATTGTCCATTAGTTGATACCAAAAACAGTTAACTCCTGCCTTTAAGAATGAGGTATTTTCAGAAAGCTGTGTTGAAGATGTGGACTTATATCTACCCCGCCCCTCTAGACCATGTCTACTCGGGGCGGCTTACAAAATAAAACAGAACAGTATAAAAATATATAAAAACATAAAATTACAACTACAATTTCAATTTAAAACAATTAATTTAAAGAGAGGATTACCAAGATGGAATAGCAAAGAAAAGAAAAAAGAGAAAGACTTAGTTGACTGGAGGGAAGGCCTTCTTGAATAACCAAGTTTTTAACTGGCTTTTAAAAACACCCAGCGAGGGTGCCAGCCGAATTTCTGTTAGGCAGAGCAATTAGATTGTCCATTAGTTGATACCAAAAACAGTTAACTCCTGCCTTTAAGAATGAGGTATTTTCAGAAAGCTGTGTTGAAGATGTGGACTTATGTCAATCAAAACAACATCTTGGCTATATCTAAGAGTAGATAAAACCAACACCGTAATATACACGGGAGAAACCAGCACCTAAATATATGAGATGTAGAAGAAAACACAACTTACTGTAGAGCTGCTGGATAGCCCAGTGTTTTAGGCATCTGGTTGCAGATCCACAGGTTGGGACTTTGATTCCCCACTGTGCTGCTTTGATGGGGCTGGACTCAATCCATAGGGTCCCTTCCCGCATTGTAGTTTTAAGATGATGGTGATTATTACTGAACCCATCATTTTATGAGCACCTTTTCCAACTACACTGTGGATCTTAATAGGAAGAAAAAGGTAATGTGTATCAGTAATGTCAATAAATCGGTCTTTAGTTAAGTTGAGGTAAAAGTATGGGGCACCTTCTAACTGAGCAAAACATTATTTCTTCTTAATAGGAAGAAAAAGGTAATGTGTATTAGTAATGTCAATAAATCAGTCTTTAGTTAAGCTGAGGTAAAAGTGTGGGGCAGAACATTCCTGTACCTTCTAACTGAGCAAAACATTATTTCCCTTCTTTCTTTGGGGTGTTTAGCCCCAGCAGGTTCTATCCAATGTCCCGGAGAGTCCCTGACTACTATCCTGCCTACTCACCCCAATATTCTGAGGACTACCAGTACTATCCTCCTGGTGTACGACCTGACAGTATCTGTTCTATGCCTGCCTATGAACGTGTGAGCCCTCAGTGGTCTGTGGATGACAAGCGGCACTCTTTCCGCAACAGTGGCTCATATCAGCTGCGGGAATGGAAGGAACAACCTGGCTATGGAAGACAGGACATACCCATCTGGATCCCAGGGCCCACACGGCCACCTGTGTATTATGATGAAATGGATGCTGCCTCAGGCTCCCTGCGCAGGATGTCACTTCAGCCTCGCTCCCGGTCGGTCCCTCGTTCCCCAAGCCAAGGTTCCTACAACAGAGCCAGAGTGTATTCCCCAGTCAGGTCACCAAGTGCCCGCTTTGAAAGAGTGTCTCCCCGAAGTGAGGAGATATATGCTGAGCCAACTACTTACATGATGAGGCGATCAGTTAGTTCCCCAAAGGTAACCCTCCCTCATGGTTCGACTTTTTTCCTTGGTACTTCCTGCCACTCTTCAGAATAAAATATAGAATGGTATGGGAGAGCTGAGGGGTCTGTTGATTGGATCATTACCTATGTATCTGCGTTTATGCATGCTGCATACAGCGATTGAGGGGTACTGGTGGATAAAATAATAACTGCAAGTGAGGGAAGATGCCATTGGCCATTTTAGAGATTTCTTGGTGTCCTGAGTTAAGAAACACAGCAACATGCTAGAATAATGGAGTCTGCTACAGACAGGAGCAATAGCAGGATGCCTGGGGTACAGGCTTGCCTGAAGGTTGACTTCTGATCTAGAAGTCCATGTGCTTAATCTCTGATATGTCAGAGGTGATTCTGGTTACTTGTTCATAAAGAAATGCTAGTCTGTGCATGCTGAAACACAGTCTGTGGTTTAATTCACATGTCCACATAAAAAACAGGGGACTTGGGCTAGGCTCCCATCATATTAAATATCAGGTGTAAGGAATCACAAATGCACAGAGGCTGAAATGGGGCACAGGGGTTGCATGATTCCATGACTGAATTGAACAGGCATGCTACCATTAAGAGTACGGAGCATGGCATATCAAAAGTTACGAAGCATGAAACTCTTAAAAACACTCTCCATCACTGTGTAGCCTGTACACTTGATGAGCATGATTTATAGATAGAAGAACAAAGTCAAAGTACTGCCAACGGGTGCTGGAAGCATCCTAGACGTTGGCTGAAATCCAGTAGTAAATCACAGCTAGAGTTAGGTCCATTGAATTGGTGGAGCTTTGGTGAGTTAACACCTACATAATAATATAATAATCATCATGTGCCCTTAAGTCAATTCTGACTTACGCTGACTCTTTCCAGGATTTCCTAGGTAGAGAGTGCTCAGTAGTGTACCATTCCCTTCTTCTAGGGGCCTCCTGGGACTGTGCAACTTGCCCATGGCCACACAGCTCAGTGGGGAACAGGAGGCAGCCTGGGGAATCAAACTCCCAACTGCATGTAACGACCTAAACCACTGAGTTATCCAGCCAGCTGACACCTAAGTTGCATAATTCAGTGGGCCTACTCTAGTTGCAACTTTACTACTGAATTTCTGCCATTGAGTGGCATTAGAGGTTTCAAGGATAGGAGACTGGGGTAAACATGGTGATCCTTTCTTCTTTTCCCAACAGATCTGGGCTTAGCCCCAGCTTGTAGAAGCAACCCTTCTTTTCCATGGATTTCTTTGTCTCATGTCGAGGCCACAAATCCTTTATGTTACTACAGCTGACTGGCCCATTGCCATTTAGCTGAAAAAGCCTGGTCAATTGCTTCACCCCATTTCTGTCTCTGTTTCTATATTGTGGTTCATAGTAACCTTTCTGTGTGATGGAGAAACATATGAAGAGCAACGTCATCCAGTACACTGATGTAACCCGTCATGCACATTGTATGGTTTCTTTTCTTTCCTCAGTATGATTATCTGGGTGACAGGAGGCCTGTCCCTGCAGGGATGTTCCCCTTCAACTATCCAGCATCTCCTACAGTCCACGACAAAATGGTATGTCCCATTTGGCACACTAGCATTTCATTAGAGATTGACTAATTTGTTCTCTAGGCTGAGCTTTAATTCAGAGGTGGGATAAAGAAGGTTGTGATGAGATGGTGAGCAGTTGCTTACTGGGTCTTAGGACTTCTAAAGTTCTGAGTCAAAAAGTATAAGCCGGCTGCATAAGATCTGCACTGAAATGCAATGTGCCATGATTAAGTGAACTGGCAGATGGTTTTGATTATGTAGCTTGATCTGTTGAAGGTGAGAACAATAAAACAGGGTGCTGTGGGGTTTTTTTTAATGTAAAGCAAGGAGGGAATGAAGCATAAGAATTATGAAAAGGAAAAAAAGGCTATTGTTCCTACATTCAGCCCCTTCTTTATATATTCAGTGAGGGCTGATCCCCCCCCCATATCAATGTGTAATACAAAGATATAAGATGGAATAATTCCTCTCTATTAGGGCATCCTAATATCCTTCACCCTAATGTCCTTATCATTAACACAGTCTCTCTCAATGTAAGAGAAAGCAGAGGTTGCATTTCACTCTGCAGAGTATCTGTCTTTTGGAGAGGAAAGTTTTATCATATTTCTAGAAAACATAATGTGAGGCACATTGTTAATTGTTAATACAGGCTTAACCCAAGTGGTTTATTAAGGTTAGTGGTTGTCCCTTCATTTCAGGTGGACCCTGCATAGATAGGACTATTTTTGTTCCCCGAGAACAGAAGTGGGCAACTAGTGCCCCTCCCTGTGTATTGCTGCCCCCATCATTCTTTACCATGGACTAGATTGGCTAGGGATGGCAGGAGGTGCAGTCCAGCAAAATTTAGAAAGCCCCCAAGGTGCCCACCCTGAATCTAAACAAATAGCACTTCACCAGTTGCTCTAGTGCTCTTATGATAGAAAATGGGTTGCTAGGATGTGAGGATGTTTTTTCCACTGGGATACCTTCCCTAACCCAAAAATGCACCACTTGACAGTCCATAAAGAAGATATGGAGGAAGCAAAAGTAGGAGGCCAGGTTCCAGCCCTTGCAATTCTCCAGTGCAGCTGTGGGGCAGTGAAGTGTGGCAAAGAGAATCGGGAAGACAAAGGGTGAGGTTGAGAAGGATACGGCGGCGAAACCTCTGTTCCCTGTGGTTGGCTGTTAGTTTCATTCTTTGCTGTTTTTCCTCACTCATTCTACTTCTCTCTTTGTTTGGTTATTTCACTGCGGGGGAGGATCCCTGTGGTGGGGGCAGGAACCACTGTGAGTGGGACTCTGCCAAGTGAACCTGCCAACTTCATTTGCTCCATGCCAAGGTTCTTGACCCTGCCTGACACCTTTCACCTGTGAGAGCAAGCAGTAAATCCTGGATTGGATTAAGGTGCCCTGTGGAACAGACTCTAGTTGCACGCCTGATGCACGCAGCTTCTTCCCTCATGTCCCACTTATTCTGCCCCCCCACTCGCCACCGTCTTCTCACTAGCTGTGCACAAAAGCGGATGCATGTGGCTGAACCAGATGTGCAATGCAATGATCCTGGTACTGCTAACCATGTCAAGAATTGTCTCTCTGGCAGCGGATGCTCTGTCCCCAGTCTCTAAATGTTCTGACGGGGAATGGATGACAGGGACAGAGACAGCAAGAAGGATCTGGGCAAGCTTTCTTTTTCTTTTTTTTAAAGAATAGTATTAGAGTCCAGAAACATTCAGCTCAGGTTAGGTACCTCCACAGGAACACAGAATCTTGACCTCCCTGCACACATACATACAAGTCTAACAATAAAAGTGCTGCTTATCTAGAAAAGAGCACATACTTTTCAGAAGTGATCAACATTATGTATGTATTACCTGTAGAATCAGTTTACCTGGCCTGTATGTGCTGGCCCATCTGTACTAATGGAAATGATGCAGCATTCCCAACCTATCTGGGAGCAAGCCATGTCAGACCACTAAGATCTTTTGGCTCACTGTTCCCATTAGCCCCATCCAGCGTGGCTAGACATTAAGGGATTGTGGAAGCTGTCGTAGAAAGCATGTGGAGGGCCAACGTGCCTTTACATTTGAGGGAGGCGGAGATGGTACGTTTGGCTCTGGAAGAGCCCACTTTAATATAATGATCCCAAGTTCCACTTGACACCTTTCTCAGCAGGTTATGCTGTGTAGCAGGAAATTTTGAATTCATGGCTTTTATCTAAGTCTGTATGTGATAGAGGGATTTTTTTTTTGTGGGAGGGGGAGATGAGTTTCCAGCTTCCACTGTTGCCATCCACATACAAGCTGTGCAGCTAAATGGCTTGTCCAAACTGATGTCCTGGAAAAGTGGACTGAGTGGATCTGTGGAGAGTTCAGCATGTGCAGAAGGAATCTGACAAGCCTTTCAGCATGCTGTCAGGGTTCTGATCCTTTGTTTTTATCTGCTCAATAGCAAAGCAGAGCAGTACGCAATAATATGAAACGAGACCAATCACGCTACCTCTTTCCTTGCTGTACTGCAAATGAGTTCACTGACCCTGCTTTCTCAGTATGCCTGTCTAGTCCTCAAGACTGGTAAGCAGGAACTGCCAAAGGGAGAATTTCTACCTTGGCTTTCGATGCCCATTCTAGCAAAAGAAAACAAAGGAGCACAAGCTATTGAACAGGGCCGACTAATTTTAGGGAGCTGAGGGACCAAATTTGTGCCTCCAGCAACCTCCTTCAATGGCATGCCGGGCCTGGAAATGGCTGGTTGAGTCAATTTCCCACCCTCCTCCCCAAATATTGACAGGAAGAGGATGGAGGAGGACTACGCCCAGTACTCCTGAAGTGAAAAGTGCTATTCCCAGAGGACTGTGGGAGAAAAAGAGGCTGGTAGGAAGTGCAGGGGGGGGTTACTTGCATTTTTAAATTTATGGACCTGCAGTGGCCTGTGGGGCCACAAAAACGCACACAGTCTGAGTGCTACATGATGTCCGTTCCTGTGATAGGGGCACCATCTGGAGCAGCAGGAATGGATGAGCAATTCTTGCATCCTTGTGCCGTGCTGACCTCACATGGTAATGACTTCATACACTCATTGTTAGATTTCAGGGGGCAGCAGCAGCAGCAGCTTTTTTAAAAAGGGGTGCTAAAGAAACATAGGAGCCCATTATCTTTAGGGGGGTACCTTTAAAAAAAATAGTGTGATGGGGTTAGGAAGAACAGCACGGTCCTTTTGTTAATCCACAACTTCCCAGCAAAAGGCAACATGGAGTCTGGAGACAGAGCACTTTCTATATAAGTGGAGGTACCAGGATCTCCCATTGAGCATTCCTCTAGGGTAGGAGCTGGCAACATGCTGCCTTCCAGATTATCCTGAACATCAACTCCCATAAGCCCTTGCCAGCATGGCCAGTGGTCAGGGTGTATGGGAGTTCTAGTCTTCAACCTCAAGAAGGCCCCAGGTTGCCTGCCTCTGATGTAGGGAATGTGGAATATATAACCTGATCTGAAAGGACTGCTGATCAGCTGTCATCTACCCACCCGTCCACCTGCCTGCCCTTCTCTTTAAGAATGCTCGTGAGGCTGAAACGTTCCCTTTCCTGTATCAGGAGCTCTTTGCCTGTCTCTCGCTAAGTTGCACCTAACTGCTTTTGCTTCTTCTTTGTGTTTGTTTCTTTTGTGTTTTCCCATTTTGCCGCACGCATGCCTAATGGCTCCCGATAGGATGAACTGTTAGACCTTCAGTTGCAAAGAAACCTAGAGTATTTGGACCAGCAGGTAGGCTGAGCTGCCTGTGTTCCTCTCTCTGCCTCCCATCCCCACCCCTCAACATATCCTGCCTCTCATCCTTCAATTCTGTCCCCTCCCCAAGTTCTGATATCGTCAGTGCCATTTTCCCATTCTCCTCTCTCTGCTCCCCCCCTCCCCATCCTCAGCATCTATTTTGCTCCCTTTTCTTGGCACTGAGGCAGCAAGAGTCTTCTTTGGCTTCATTTTGGCCTCACCCTTGACAGTGACACGCTTATGTGTTTTGTGTGGGACCGGATGGGATGGGCAGGGAATGTGAAAAATCTGTGAATTCTGCAATACTGGGTTTGCAGGGGGTTGGTGTTTTTTGTGGGGGTCAAGTTTGGTTAGGGATGTACCATTTTGGCATAACATTTTTCTCAGAGTGTGAGGATGGAAGCAGGGGTTGCGCAAAAAAGATTAATAATGATAAGATAATGAGAAAGTTAGAGAAGGGCTACGCTTCTCAGAGTATCCAGCCAGCATGGACAATGATCACGCAGGCTGTGGTATTCTGGGAGATATCGTCTAGAAAACTGGTACTAATATTAAAATTCTGGGTGGTAAGTTACTTTTCATAGAGTAACAAGAGTGTCAAGTGTTTGATTCAAACACTTGATGCTCTCATGCAGCCACAGGTATACCAAGGAGAGAGGAGCCCACAAGCACTGGTAGCCCCTTGACGCACTGGTGCTGGTGTTTACTTTGACTACCCTCCATTCCCATTCCTCTGGCCTAGCTGGTAGCTGGGGCCAGGGTCAGGAAGGTGCCAATGATGTTTCATTCCTGAACATGCCCTGGAACAGCCAACATAGCACAACTACAAGATGTTATGGCTATCATGCTGCCACCACCCAAACCTGCCATCAACCCATGTTTCAACCCCATTTTCCCAAATGTGGACATCATTACAGACTTGCCCAGAGTTCTTTCTCGAAAAGCTCAGTCACTAACCCCTGTTTACCTGTTGCTTAGGACTACTACATAGATATATATGTAAGTGGCAGAATCAAGCATTAAAGCTTGCCTTAAACTGTAACATTAGAGGCTGCAGATGAGAGCTTTCAATTGTTAATGCTTCCTCCCAGTAAAATACAGTTCCATGTGAGGAAGCACTGACAGATATCCTTAATCGTGTCATATTCACTTGTGCGAGGAATTTTTTGGGGAGAGAGTAAAGTAAGGGGGCTATTACATTGGCTGTTTAGCCACAATTTACATCAGATTGGGAACAGATGAATTTGAATTAAAATCTGGTGATTACATGCTATAAAGTGCAACACAGGAAAGCCCATGGTGGAATAAGCTTTTTTGAGCAGGGGATTGCATTTCTTTGTTTAGCTGGCAGGGGTGGTTTAAATTTGTTCTGATCAGTTTGACACCACTTTTGTCTGCTTTCTGCCTGACCTGATGCAAAGGGTCACTCACAGAGGTGTCAGTTCCTCTCAACCAAGCGCTCCTGGTCTCCACACGGTTTCTTTTTTCAAACAAGAAAAGAAAAAGAAAAAAGGTTCAACTCAGTGCTGGCACACGCTACCACTAGGGCATTGAGAACTAAATAAACAAAGACAGGTAGAAATTGTCAACTAGCACCTGCTGTTGGAACTCCATGCAAATGGAGCTCTTTGCCTTAACCCTGCTGACTCCTGCAAATTGTCTTCTGGACCATTACAGTTACAGTGATACAACCAGGGAAACCCAATCTAATAAACAGTAAATGCACAGCAGATGAAGCCATATTTTCCTTACTGTATAGTTGCACCCTTGGTAACTTCCTCACTTATATTCTGAAGTAATTTTGTTCAGAAAAAGCTGTACCGCTTTAGAGCACTCTTGCACAAGTGCTCTGAAGTGGCACAGCCTCTGGCTAGATGTGCGATATATTAAATGAATGAATGAATGAATGAATGAATGAATGAATGAATGAATGAATGAATGAATGAATGAATGAATGAATGAATTGATAAGATTTTGGATTGTATCATTTTAGATGGCAGATATGAGCTTATACTTTCGGAAGGAAGGAAGGAAAGTCTCTTTCTTTAGTAAACTAGTACAGTTATATAGGCTACTTTCTCATATGTTAGTCTAGTGTATGCAAAATTTTGTGTTTTTTTAAAATAATACTACATTTTTAAAAAATAGCCTCTTACCTGAAAACCAAGGAGCTATAACCCAGAATCTAGTAAACTTATTATGCATAAATTGTAGAATGACTGTTAGTATACATTCAAATCTGAGGAACAGAAGTAAAATGTTCAGAGATTTAGGAGCACCATAATTCACATGGTGAAGCTGACATCACCATGCATAGGAACTCCATGGGAGACTTTATTAGCCAAACTAATGGCCATCTCATTCAATCAAGGTTGGGGTACATGTGGACCTCCATATGTTCTTGGGCTGCAACTCCTATTGATCCCACCAAACATAGTCAATGGCAAGGAATTCTGAATGATGCAGTGCAACAACATGTGGAGGACCAAAATTGTCCATATCAGGTTTAGGTAAGGAAGGACAGTGTGAGCTCTTCATTTCCATTTCCAACAAGAATCCAGTTAGTCAGCTGCAAATGTATAGATAATAAAGACCAAGAATTAAAACTAGACCCTGATGTGTTCGGTCATTGTGGTTGTTCCCATGAAACTTCTTTTTTGTTGTTTTTAAAAAGATGTGAAATAGTGTATGGAAGACTGAAAGAAGTTTATACACAAAGATAGAAAATGAAAGGATGTTTGAGAGTGAAATTTCACATTTTCAGCTAGTTAGTTAATTGTGTTCATCTATAAATGTCTGAAGCATTCATGCATAGCATTGTATACAAGTCCAATTAAGTAATTAGTTCTGGATATCTCTGACCTGATCAGGCAACTTAATTTTGGTTAGACAAATAGGACTACTACGTAGAAATAATTTCCAAAGTGTTGATCAGGTGAGCAAAAAGGCCCCATTTGTGGACGAGAATAGAATTCCATAATCAGTTTGTTAGTCTTGAAGGTGAAGCAAGACTCTTAATGACATGTGTATAGACTGTATTTATCAATCAGATGGAAACAAAATTGATGGCTAAATGAAGGTTTTGTGTAAGCAACAAACATCCAGGATAAAAGTATTGCTTTTATTTACAAGTTTGTCTGTGTTTGCATGTAGGACTCTGATCACATGGTGTAGGCCAGTGGTTCTTAACCTTTGTTACTCGGATGCTTTTGAACTGCAACTCCCAGAAACCCCAGCCAGCACAGTTGGTGGTGAAGGCTTCTGGGAGTTGCAGTCCAAAACTCCTGAGTAACCCAAGGTTAAGAACCAGTGGTGTAGGCTTTTGAGATCATATTGCAAATACGTATCTGCTGGCTACTGGAGCACACAAAAGAATTTTAGAAGAAGAGTAGTCTATGCATTATAGACTACAGTAAAACCTTTCACTGTGTGGATCATGAAAAATGATGGTTTGCTCTGAAAAAAGTGGGCCTCAGCATTTGATTATCCTGATGCATAACCTGTATTGCAGACAAGAAGCTACCTATAGGATAGAATATGGGAAGAGAGAATGGTGTCCTATGGGCAAAGGTGTCAGACAAGGGTACCTTTTATCCCCTTATTTGTTCAATCTGTATGCAAAACATATCATAGAGAAAGTCAGACTAGATTCAGATGGACGAGGAGAGTTAATAGGAGGAAGAAATATCAATTGTTTATGATACGAAGATCATACCATTTTACTGGCAGAAAGCAGCAATGACTTGACACGACATCTAGTGAAAGAAGGAAGTGCCAAAGCAAGACTGCAGCTGAACATTAAGAAGACCAAAATCATGACTACAAGAACAACTATACAAATTTAATGGTGACAATACATAAACTGATTGTTAAACCAAATTTAATGGTGACAATACATAAACTGAAATTGTTAAACATTTTGTATACCTTGAGTCAGTCATCAATCTAAAGGGAGACTACAGCCAAGAAATCAGAAGAAGACTGAAACTCAGAAGGGCAGCAATCAAGGAATTAGAAAATACAGTGGCGCCCTGCATAACGAGCAATTCGTTTAACAACGAATCTGCATAGCAACGCATTTTTGCAATCGCAAAAGCGATCGCATTGTGATGTTTCTAATGGTAAAACATCGCTTTGCAATGATCGGTAAGCGTTTCGCTTACCGATTTTCGCATAGCGATGTTTTTTAACAGCTGATCGGCTGTTCCAAAATGGCTGCCGGGTAAAGAAAATGGCCACCCGCTGTGTTTTTGTGCCCTTTACTCGCTTGCCGGGCAGCAAAAATGGCGGCTGCATGGAGGATTTCCGCATAACGGTGAGTTTTTTGTCCATAGGAATGCATTAAACGTGTTTTAATGCGTTCCTATGGGCTTTTTTGCCCCACATAGCGACAAATCCACATAGCGACAATTTTTTCGGAACGGATTATCGTCGCTATGTGGGGCACCACTGTATCATCAAGTGGAAGGATGTGTAACTAGAGACTAAGACCAAGATAATCAACACTCTCATATTTCTGGTCACCATGTATGGATGTGAAAATTTAACAGTAAAGAAAGCTGACAGAAAAAAAAATGGGGTTTGAAATGTGATGCTGGAAGAGAGTTCTGCAGATGTTGTGGACTGCCAGAAAGACCAACAAGTAGTTTCTAGAGAACATCAAGCCTGAACTGTCTCTAGGGGCAAAAACAATATGAAACTGAAGCTGTCCTATTTTGGGCAGATCATGAGAAGACAAGATTCTCTGGAAAAGACAGTAATGCCAGGAAATGTGGAAGGCAGTGGGAAAAGAGGAAGATCAAATAGAAGATGCATTCACTCCCTAAAGAGACCACAGGCTTCAGTCTGCAAGAGCTGAGCAGGGCTGTTTGAGAACAGGTCATGTTGGACATCTCTCATTCATAGAGTTGCCATAAATTGAAGGTGACTTGACTGCACATAACAACAACAAAACTCTGATAACCAAAAACACATTTTTCATGTGCATGGAAAAAAATTGGGGGAAGGTGATTTTAGGTGAGTAGTAATAAAATCAAGCCAGTGTGGTGTAGTGAACAGACTGAAAAACTACATGACTTGGGTTCAAATTCTCACTCAGCCAATCAAATTCACTGGGGCGGGTGAGTGGCACTGATAGGGTGGCTGCTTAAATATCCCAGTTACCTGTTAGGATCACCGTAGGTTAGATGGAATTTGACAGCACGTAACATACATCAAAAGTCAATAGTGTGAACCCTGACTTTATGGTAACGATTTTGTTCAAAGGCAAAAGTGGTGTTCAAATATGTCAAGAAAATCGAGTAAACTGTAGTAGCTAATGCACCAGGCAACTGATCCAACAAAATCACCGTACATCAATTAATGTAAAACAGAGCAATCTTTTCAGTCAGTGCACACTGTTGTGTCAGCAGATGGTTGCTGACCAGTTCCTCTGAGAATCAGTGAAGGAAAAGCCTTTTGCAAAAACATCAGCAGACCAGATTAAGGTGGAAAATAAAAATGAAATCTCACTGCAAGAGCTGATGGATGGCCTGGGCTGGGCTGCGAAAGGTCTGGGTTTCAATAATCAAGCCTGTTCCAGAGACAATCTCATTATGGCTTTGTAGTTGGTAATTTCCCCCTCAGTAGAGTAATGAAAAAGACTCACGTGCCGCTATTGGACTGAAGTGGCGACCGCAGAGGAGGAGGAGGAGGATTTGCTGTTAAAACTTCTCTCCAGACTGCATCACCAATGATCATCCATTCAAAACAATAACAATAATAGCCCTCAACATTTTAAAGACTTTTCAGTTCTCCCTCCTCCCTCCACTTCCTGAGCCTTGGAGAAAGATTGATATAAGGTAGAATGAACAAGTGCAGCCTTCTGAGCCTTGTTTGTTTTTCATGCCCTATTTGAAAGTGCTGGGGGGGGGTTGTAGGTGCAGAGAGCTGCCATCCACTTCACAAGAAGGATTCCAGAGGTAGATCTTCATATCTGAGCATACTGTAGGGATGAAAGAATTTTTTCCAATAATCCACTTCCAAGTTATTAAAAGTGCAGCAGTGGGTGGTGTGAGTGATGTAAAAAACTGTTATGAGGAATTCTTTTGAAGCTTCCCTCTAGTGTTGTAGCTTTGTTCAAATCAGGATCCAGCTGCTGGGAAGTGATTACATACACAAACAAGCCAGGAGATCCAAGTGTCTGCTTTGACTCCAGTAATTCCAGAATTAGGAGAATCAGCAGCACTGCATTTGGGAGGGGGGAAATATCTGGATCAATGGGGAACTTCCTCAGTGATGCACTACGAGTGTAATGCCTCTGTGTGAGCTGTAGGATGTTTGTATCCCAGTCATTTTTCTGTGTCATGTTTGTGGCATGCCCAATGGTGTGGAAACAGAACAGCTTTGTGAAGCACCTGCGGCAATGTTCTGCCAAATACAAATAACTGTGCGAAGATGGCTTCGGGGTCCTTAAGAGGGTGGGGATGGTGGATCAATCTTGTCCTCTCTTCCCCCAGAGTTGTGATTCCCTTCGATTGTCCCCTCTCCAGAACTACTCTTTGGGTGACAAGACATGTTCATACAGTCAGTAACTAATGTTGTGTCCTGTCTGGCCCTAAGCAATTTCTCTCTGCGCTGATGTGCATTTTTCAGTTCTATGGGCTTCCATTTGGCATCCCTTTGCCTTGTGACATCTAAGCTAAAGGAATGGTCCAGATGTTTCCAACATGGGGAAGGGGCTCACACTTATTCAGGACTGAACTCAAGGGACTCTGCTGCCCCTGCCAGCATCTTGACTTTTTTCCTTCCTTGTCTGCCACAGATGAGCGAGAGCGAGACTCTGATCAGTATGGTGAACAGAATGGTGGAGAGCTCCTCCCCTAGGGCTCAGCTGTACATGCAAGTAAGACATCACAGCAGCTTTGCCATCAGCCATGCCATTCCAGCTGCTTTTGCATGGCAGAACCATTCCCAGTGTTACCCTCCCACCCCACATGTCTGCCTCCATCTGTGAGATGTCCGTTCAGCCTCTCATCTAAGAATAGCATTCATATATGGAGAAGCCCAACTGGGCCCCCATGTGTCACTTTCCCAGTGAGTCTAGTTCAGAGTATTTCTTCCATCCATCCATCCATCCATCCATCCATCCATCCATCCATCCATCCATCCATCCATCCATCCATCCATCCATCCATCCATCCATCCATCAGTCTACAGTTTTTGTTACACCTTGAGGGAAGGCAGAACTTTGTAAATATGTCTCTGTTGTGTCAACAGCTCTCTTCCAAGCTCTATTTTTCTTTCCTTGTGCTCTGTAATCGCTTATTAAAGGCGTGGGTTAGAACCTGAAACCTTCACTCTCGAAATATTGGCCATACTGTTTGGTGCTAGAGGAATCTTAGCAGTTTGCTTGCTTTTGGTTGGTTGGTTGCTTTAAAAGCAGAAGTGATTTCCCATTTCTTCTTTCATTTGCAAAATTTACTGTGTTTCTAGAAAATGTTTAGCAGTTTGCTACTAACCTTTAACCCATTCAGGGTTTGAGTCAGGATGTTGAACTCAACCCTGTTTTTGATGCCAGTGCCAAGAGATACTTACTTTTCTGTTTAGGTAAAGTAAACATGCAAGGAGGAGAACACACTAGTCCCACCCTCTCTATTGACACTCTCATCATGAAAGCTGACAGTTCCAAGCAGAGCGCATCTATGCACGAAGGCTCTTGCTGTGATTCTGATCTCTGTTTTTCTAGCATTTGGAATCACATGGAGAACCTCCAGTTCAGAGTGTCACTGTCCATGTCAAGAGGTGGTTGGGGCTACAGTATTCTCTCCAATATGTTAAGTTACACATCCTACAAGACCCAACATTGTAGTAATCTAAGATTATGTCATATGCATAAGTGTAAGCAGAAGACATGTTTTCTTCATGAAGATTGCCACTTGCAGAAAGGGTGGAATTCTGCATTATTGTGTTCAGGTGGTGCTTTCCACTCAGTGGATGCTCAAAGAAATAATGACCATTAGAATATCCAAATAGGGATGTATGTCTTGTTAAAATGGGGGAAGTTTTGTGCGGCCATTTGTTCTGCTTTACAGAAAGTTGTTCTTTGTCTGAAGGCAGCCCTCCATGTGAAGTTTTCTTTTATTTAAAGTATTTTCCCAGTCTAACTTCAGTTTAGAAATAAAGGACTATAAGAAGCTGGGAGAGCAAGAGCTTGAAATTACTCATCAGCAGTTGCCATGTGGATAGCAGTCCAGGGAGGCACCAAGGTCAATCTGCTTCAAGCATTTTGCCCCAAATGCTATTCTAACTCTACAGAGATATACTAAGATATAGATTATGGACTATTTATTCTGCAGGTAGGCTCCCTCCCAGGGAACAAATCCTCCAGCCAGATAAAAAGATGGCTCTTCCCAGACCTATTGAAATAGAATGGTCAGTCAATGTGCCTAATTCCATTCAGTAAGCATGAAAAGAATCCTTAGACTCTGATTCAGAAATCTGCATGGAGTGTCAGAATGTTCATCTATGCTGAGCATTAGATTAATCTAAATAGTGAACCATTCAAACTAGCTCAGATGAATGCATGGTTGAAGATTCAGGATGACTGGGATAGAGAGGGCTGAGAGGCTTTGAATGACTTGTTTTCTGTATTCAGCAATTGAATTAGCAATACAACCATAAAAGCTGCATCACATTGCAATTACATCCTTCCACCCACCATCCATTTGTACCTCCAAAGCTTCAATCATCATTTTTTTCACTTTTAGTACTAAAATGTACTTTCTGACTAATTTGCAGTTCCGAATATAGTAAAATTAAATTGGAGCAGAACATTGTTATTAATTGCTTGTAACATGTGATATTTGGATAAGTTTGGGGTGGGCTCAGTACTTTTTATTTTTACAAAAATAGAGATTGGTATATTATGTGACAGAGCATTCCGTATACTGTTTCCATCTGTGGCTTTGTGGTATATCACATTATTCTAGGAACATAAAGATCTTATCACTGCAACGTGTGAGAGACCTGGAGTTGATCTCTCTATGCTACCATGTTGATTGGTCTGAGAATCAGGCTGGGGATAATATGCTAACCTGACTTCACAATAAGACTTCCTGCAAAATAGTTGCAACCTTTATGCCACAAAAAGATATTCAGGGAGAAAAAAATATGTAGTCAATAATCCAGGGCAGGAATAGCTGAAACAGACATGAAAAACAGAAGTTTTTCAGTGCCTTTCCAGTCTTTGCAGGATTTTCCTCAAGAAAATATCACAGCAGCATGATGCTAAATAATGTATTGACTTGCCCACTATTCAGTATTCTAGAGCAAAAGAGTAATTTAAAGGAATCAGAACATATTACCTAGTAACAAAGCACCCAAATAATAAGGTGCTACAAGTCACACACACACACACACACACACACACACACACACACACACACACACGGGTATGAAGGAGATACTTGCCAGTTTGCTTCCTTATAGGAGGCATTACACTCAGTCAGAAATTAAATCATCATCATCAACAACAACAACAAAATGCCCATGCATTTATTCTCTCTCTCTTTCACACACACACACACACACACACACACACATGCACATACACATGCACGCATACACACATGGGAGGAGTGGAGAGAGATGCAGCCCATTCATCTAGTAAATTCTATTCTGAACAGGTATGATTTCATTACTGTCTGCCACAAGCAAAAAACCACCATATCTTTCTTCAATACTACAGGAAGAAAAGTTGGGTTTTGCTAGTGATTTCAATAAGGAAACAACTGTGAACTGATCAAAATTGCTCTCCATTACATTTCAATGTGAGGAATAATCAGATTGTAAAAAAAGTTACATTTTTATGTAGGCAATGATCATGATGACTAGAGAGTTTTGGGAGTCCTGGAAAAGAAGTCATGTGAATCAACCAGATTTCCAAAGGCTTATGTCTGCCAGGGAACATAGTAACAGAAACTGGGAAAATAACCTCTTTTGGGCTATAGGTCTCAGGATTGCACCGCCAACATGACCACTTGCTAATTCTAGTAATTGTAATCCCCAAAAGTAACCTTTTCCGTCTCTGCCCAATAGTGACTAAAATCATTATCCATAGCTTGGGTTTGGATTGTCCCCATATGTTACAAAGAACAAAGGCTGAGAGCTTTATCTTCGGCTTTTGACTCGTTGATCAAGTATGATCAAGATCAGATTTCAGATACGAGTGTTATTTTTCATAACCTTGCTACAGTTTCTCATAACTTTACCAGTTATGAAACCACTACTCCATCTGGATAAGTGTTGTTCATGCTGACAAACAATGGCTCTCAAAGGGTTCAGACACGGACCTTTCTGAGCCCTGCCAGGATCTGTCCATGGCTGAACCTGAGACCAGCCACATGGAAAGCACACACTCTACTCCTGAGCTGTGTGGCCCCTTTCCCTTCATAATGATGGGAGACAAAACAGTAGCTACAATAAACAATGTTATGTGATACTTTAATGGAGAGTGGTATCTGTTTACTACTGTTGTATTATTATTTTACTGTGGTGGTTTGCTTGAACCCAATAAACTCTGGTTCTGATATGATGCCTTTGTTCTGTGCTGCATTGCATCAATGCTAATCAGTTCTCCCCTGTGATACTCGTACACCCCTTTTGGGTAAGTACTGCTAGATGCAATCCTGTTCCACAGGGAAATGATGCCATGTTCAGTCTGTAAAACGTAACCTGGCAAAAGCCAATGCTTTAGAACAGCCGTCTTGGCTATCTCTGTGCATTAGTTTTTTCACTGTATAAAACAGTGGTTGCTAATAAGCTGGGGAGAGCTTCGTATTATATAAAGAATCTCAATTCATATTGCTGCAGGGTTGCATTTTGCAAAGTTTTACCCTGTGTTTTGCATCTTTAAAAATTCAGATCAGCAAACAAACTGGCTGTAGAACAAAAGAGGTACCTGGCTATGTGGCCTGTGAAGGTCTTTATTGTTATGAATCAGTTCAATATCACACATCAAAAGCAAAATCTCATCCTACTCTGTTGTTATTGATCTTCCTCCTCAAATCAACCTTCTGCTGAAGGTCAAACGATCCTGGTTCTTGATTTCTTGGAGGACTGGGTTCCAGCTACTTGTTTATCGGCTACCCTCTTTTAGCAACATTTTAGGCCAATCCAGCATCCTTCAGATGTATCAGACAACAACAACCATTCTCCTGATCAAGTCGGTTCGTGGCCACAATGCATGAGGGGGATGGGTGTTGGAATCCAACATATATAGAGAGCACTACATTGGGAGAGGCTGTCATAGATCTTGGCTTCTGCCTGGCATGGAAAGACTTGCACCGAGGAAGCTCTCACTGCTGCTGCCCATTCATGGCACCCACTGCTATTAGGCCTAAAAAAAACTTGCTGGTCTTGTGTGCTATATACCAGTTTTGTATATCCATGAACTAATTGTGTGTTAGTAGATCACATGGAGCAGCCCTTTTGCACTCTGCCAACTATCACATTGGAAGGAACTCCTCCACCACCACCCACTCCGGACCCCCAACATCATTGTAAATTCTGGATTTAGGGGGAATCGGTTGCACCTTTAAAATATTTTCACAAGTGTAGTTGTCATGATTGTGAATAAAAGCTGCTACTTATGATATGATTGGTTGTGTGTAATTGCCTGGCAAACTGTAATGGCAGTTGCACGTCAAACATGCATGTACAATAGCCTAGCCGGTTTGTTCATAAGTCTGAGCAGTCTCCTTAAAAGACAAAAACAGCACCATCTCAATTCTTCTCAGCTTGGCCGTTCCCTTTGACATAGATGGCAGAAAAGGTGCTGTGTCCACCCTGTGCTGTATGGATTCAAAGACTTGCCCCTCCCCCTTGGTGAGATAAAAGATGGCTGATTAAAAAAAAAAAAACCAGCAAAGACACATGCTGCTTTTGCTGGAGAGAGTCCTGGGAACCATGGAATAGCAGGCTTTATAATTGCAATGAAAATGCCAAACAGGTTCTTCTATCTTGTAAATATCACTTAAAAGACTGATTTAGTGGAAGACGTTAGAAAGTTAGCTGTGGGACCTGCCAACCTACTCCCTGTGTATGCGCTTGTATGCGTACGTTCCACTAAGCAGAAGCAGCCTCAGATTTCCCCAGGGGCTTGTCACGGCATGTTAACTTCAAGGAGGAGAGAGAGCAGCAGTGACTTGTTCCTGTTTTTGCAGGTGTCTCATTTCCCTGAAGCCTATCGAGAGACGTTGCACACCTACAAGATAAGCGAGCAAGATACAGATGTAAGTGCACCTCTCCCTTGCCGCTGCCTGCCTGCCTGCCTGCCTGCTCCCCTCCCTGCTTCCTGCCACCTTTCCATCCTCCTCCATCTCTTGGAGGTTACACCTTTCCCCTATTTCTCTCCAGTGTCGTTAGATGGGATTTTTTCCCCACTGCTAGTGGTGCTGCCAAAGTCTCATATCCTCTTGGTCACCAATGATCACCAATCCTGTGCTGTCTCTTTTCCTGTTGCATCCTTCACTCATACCCAGTGTGTGCTATTTTCAAGCTGGTGTGATTGTCTGTGAGTTCTCCCTGGCTACATGGTGGGAGATCAGCTGCCAAAACTGGCCTGGTCCATGCTGAGATGCTGGCTGGTACCCATCAAAGCAAATTATAGTGCCTTGTGAATCTCCCCACTTACATTCCAGGCGACACATTTTGTTTCTCTCTTTCCTTCATGGCAGAAGCTATTGGGGAAACTCTGTGAACAAAACAAAGTGATGAGGGAACAGGAAAGGCTGGTACAACAACTTCGGGCAGAGAAGGTAAGGGACAAAAATCCCAGAAGATTCTAACAGTAAACCAGAAGCTCTTTGCTCTTCGGAATGGCCCTGGATTTTCAGAGCCTGGGAGTTTTTTAAAGGAAGCTTCCCCCCCCTTCTTTAAAAAACCCCACAAGAAATTCTATCTGAAACTGGGCAGCAAGGATGCTAAACTATATGTTACCAAGGCCAGTCCTAGTGTTAGACAGTGTGGAGTGGCTGTCTCAAGTAGCAGGTTTGGGAGAGCAGCTGGAAAGCTTTGGGGCACAGGTGTGCTGTCCTCGGATGTGAGGAAGGATGCTAGCCCATTATCAGTAATGTTAGGATTCAGCTGTTGGCCTAGTTTCCGTAGACAGAAGTGGGTGGAGGTGGTAACTTGTTCTTCACTTCAAGTGGCAACATGTCTGTGGCTGGCCCTGGACTGCATATGCAGAAGCACTGATTACAGAGCCTTGAAATCACAGGCAGAACTTCAAAAAGGCCATTTGTGGACTACAGCTCCCCAGATTCCAAACCAGTATGTATATCAGCCACATGGACTGTGAGATTTTAATAGCTATAGTCCAAAACCTACGTTTTCCAGGCTTTGAACATCGGGCAGTGATGTGTGTTTGTGTCTGCTGTTTCAGAATGCAGTGGAAGGAAGCTTAATCACATCCAGAAGGATGAACACATTCAGTTTTATCTGCCCATTGTCTTGTTAGACTGTAGCCCTTTGGCATAATAAAATGGTTTAGTAGCATTTAATGACTTCCCATGATTTTCGCTTGTATAGAACAGGAAAAGGGCCCATCCCCATACTTTAGAAACAGAAAATAAGACTAAATTATTGATCAAGATCAGAGAGAGAATCTGAATCAGAGAACAGAACTGACTTTAAGCCTTTTGAGTGCTGGGTTTGCTTCCTAACTACTAACCTCCTTTGAAAACAAAACAAAACCTTCTTGCTTGTCATTTTCATGATTAGGAGAGCCTGGAAAGTGCACTGATGGGGACACACCAAGAGCTTGAGATGTTTGGCAGCCAACCAGCATATCCGGAAAAGCTGCTACACAAGAAGGAATCTCTCCAGAATCAGCTGATCAATATCCGAGTGGAGCTGTCCCAAGCCAGCACGGTAATCAAAGAAGCCTCCTCCATTGAAGGCATCCCCTCCTGCTTATTCTGGTGGAGATCCCAAGTCTTTAGAGATCAAGAGCAATTGAAAAGTGGATGTATGTATGTTGAGAGACATGCAAGTGTACACAGCCCCTATCAATCATGTAGCTTTTGACCAATCCAGACATGCATACCATATTCAGCTTTGCCCAGTACTTGTTTTTAAACAGGGCAGACAGCACAGTTTAGCCTCTGGTCACTGTCCAGCCTGCATGGCTGATTGGTACAAGCATGGGCCTCCTGTCTGCACATGGGATCGTCCATTATTTCTGCAGCAGCGTGTGCTGCACTGGCAAACTTTAGGTTGACAAGAGTGTTTCGCTGCTTCAGCATTGTAAAGCAAATCTTCCCCTTCTTTACACTCTGTGTTTAACTTCCTTCACTCCTCCCTCCCTCCCTCGTTCCCTTTCTTTTTTTATGCATAAGAGAGAGAATAAAGGAAAGGGTGTGTGAGAGAAGAAACCCACCTCCTTGACCCAAAGGGATGATGTAACCGCACCCAAAATGAACCACTGCCAGAGCCATGTTAGCTGAAGGATTTGGAGACCAAATTTTTAAGAGAGCCAGTGTGGTCTGGTGAATAAGTTGCCACCCTAGGGCTCAGGAGATCTGGGTCCCAGACTCTGCTCTGCCATGGAAACTGGCAGTGGGGGAACAGTAAAAGCATCATTTGAACATCTCACATGCTTTGAATGCCATGCAAAAGTCATCATAGATTGGATATAACTTGATGGAACATAATAACGATTTTTAAAAGTGGCTTGTCCAAGCTCTGCATGAATGTATGCCATAAATCTTCTGTGTACAAAATCATATTAAGGAGAGTTGCTGGAAATCTCATATTTCACTTTGGATGAATTCCCCTTTTCGTTCTTCTTGTTTGCTCATTAGTTTACATGATGCACAATTTGAATGAAGCCTGTTTCTTCCCATAGGCAACAAGTATTTCTTGCCTAGGGAAGTCTAGGGTGTTTCTCCTTGCCTACTCAAGACAGTTCAAATGTTAGGAAACACCAGGCTTTCAGTGCAGGCCTCAACTCTTCTCCAAGTCTTTACACAATGCTGTAGCGCACACACAGGTTGGGCTGATATTCAAACTGAAAATTTGATAGCACTGGTTAGCATATTTATGCTGGTTAGTTTCTCTGCATTACATGAGTAAACAAAAGAGAGGGTGTGTGATTGTGCTGGTATCTTGATGGGACTCTTTACAAATCCCTGCAGGCGCTGGCCAACAGCACCATAGAATATGAGAACCTGGAGGGTGAGGTGTCAGCCTTGCATGATGACCTATGGGAACAGCTGAACGTGGACATCCAGGTGAGAGAATGGTACCTCCGGACCAGCTTGATTTAAAGGAAATATGAAGTTCAGAGCACAATTGTGCCCAAACCTATAGGGATCCTCGGGAAGGCTAGATCATTTTGTGGATAAGCAGGCAAGAGAGTATCTGAATTTAATCTATTCTTGCAGAATTATGTACAATAAGGGCAGCTTGAGGGGGGCACTTCACCCTTGTTCCAATCATGAGCCATATACAGGAATATACCTGAGCACTCTGCATAGCACTGAACCATTAAGTGCTCATTCTTTATAGTGTGAGTGCGCAAGCATTCATTTTGTGATGTTCTAACCTGCCTAAAGGAGGTAGACCAGGCTTCCAGGAGATGTGGGGCCTGGTCTACTGGTGCTGTAATAGAGGTACTGTAGATTGGGCCTCTAGAATTACTGGAATGAGGCATAATGTTACAGTGCCCCCATTTTTTGCTGATTTAGCAGCAAATTATCCTAACATATTTAACATAATGTTACAGTGCCCCCACTTCTTGCATTTTCTTGGAACCCATCTTAAGCACAAAGTGGGTATACTGAATAAAGAACAAGCAGCTGCGTATATTAGAGGTGCCTATCTTCATTAAGTCATTGTTTTGCAGACATTAGTCTCTGGGCTGTTCATTTTTTTGTAGATTTGAATAAAAAGAGTGGAGCTACATTTGAAAAACGATTGCATGCATATGCACCTAAACTCTGTGCCCTCCTATAGCTATTATGCCTACACATGCTGGTTATGTGCAGAAGTGACAGTTTGCATGTGCTGTTTGCTAGGCAGGTATGCAAAGTCTCTGCCAGCTCTCTGTGGAAATAAATAGTGAAAACATGTTAGCGAGGTCTTTATAGTAAAAAGATCAATGTTGCTCTTTACTGCCAGTATTATTAATGCAGAAGCACTGCATTGGTTTCTGTCATGTATATTCAAGATGTAAGCTCTGAAACATTTTTGATAAGATCTTCAATCACAGACCTTCATATTTCTCCAAACTACTCTTTTTCTACAGCTCCTTTCCCTTCTTTGGTTTGGGAGTTGTCAGAATTGCACTCCACATAAACCAAGCTCCATCACTTTAACTGACACACACACACACACACACACACACACACACACACACACACACACACACACACACACACACACACACCCCGATTTAACCACCTTCCACTAGGCATTTTTGAATCTTTTTTGCGGTTCTGATATCCTGTATCTTAAAGCAGCCAAAGCAATTATCCAGCTACACTGTGGCTTGCAGCCTGCTCTTCAGTTTCAATATGGACCTTATTATCGTCAACTTATCTACTTTGGAAGTAGGCATACTGAAAACTGCCAGTTCTGGGAAACATGCTACTGATCATAAAGCAGCAGTGACTTTACAGTAATACACCATTAGGCTTAGAACATTAAAAGCAGAGTGCAAACATTGCCTAATCCAACAGCTTTCATGCCAGGAAAGCTTGTTTCCCTTGCTTGAAAAGACTGAGAGACAGGAAAGATGTTAAAGAAATCAGAGATTAGAGGTTAACCCTTCCAAAACCAGTGCCTTGCAGATTACAAGTCCCATTATCCCCAGACTGCATGGAGGGCACCAGGGTGGGAAGGGTTACCTTGGTGATTGTATTAAGGATAAGCAACCTGAATCCTGAGACAAAAAAAAATAAATAAATCTGCTGGTGGTGTCAGTGAGCCTTAGACGCCGGATAGAATACAGTAGTCTAATCTTTGTTTCCCTTCCTACGTAAATGACACTTGACCTTCTATTGCCCTAATGAATGAAGCCATTGTTTTTCCTTCCATGTGCCACCAGGTTGCCCTTAATCTCCAGATATTTGAGTACCTCCCAGGTTTCTTGAATCTGTGTGTGTACTGAGTATGAACAGAAAACATCTATTCTTCTTGGAGTTTATTTTCAAAGATAAACTGGGCAAAAGCAGCTAGCTCTTAACCTCATATTCTACACACACACACACAGAGAGAGAGAGAGAGAGAGAGAGAGAGAGAGAGAGATTGAGAGAGAGATGGAGTAAAATATTGACCACAGTGGGTTAGATTTATGGATTCATTGTTTGGCTACACAGCTACTTTGTCCTGGGAAACTTCCCGAGCTTCTAGTTGGACATTGCACTACACTACAGAGGCAGGAAAGCCCATAACCATTGTCTGGGTGGTAATTTAAAAGCAGCAGTGGTTTCTGGTTTGAGAAGGAGGCACACTTCACCATGTAATTTTGGAACGGGTACCTCTTCCATTTTGTTAACTATGTTTAAAAACCAAGTTGGACACTGCACATGGTACAGTCTGCACTATATCTGGCATGCAGGAAAGAAACAGCTTGACTAAAGGTGCGCACATATAAAATTATCCCCTTAGACAAAACTAGACCTTTCAACAGATAGCTAGACTGGACACATAAGGGCTCTGACAGGTTTGTGCTTTCAGTCAAGCACTGCCAAACTACCCTTCATACAGACTTGAAGTAGAACACGAAGTTAGCCCACATGAGGACTAATCACCATTTGAATTGACTTATGGCCCAGTCTTAAGGGTATAGTATATAACCGTAAGTTAAAAAGCAGTGGGCAATTTCATCTGGTCCAATGGTCATTCTCTCCCCCCCCCCAATTCATCACAGTCTATACACTATGGCAGCAAACCAAGCCAACAAAATTTGGCATCAGCCTGGGAAAAAACCCTTTATATCGAGCAATATGTGTAGCTTCAGTGAAAGGTATTCTAAGAACACTCTTATGGCCCAAGAAGGCAAGATGTTGGAAAATTCATGATGGGATTTCTAAGGGTGCCTGTATATTTTTAGAGGTTAAAAAAAAAAACCTGTCCCCCCCCTCAAAAGTACCAAAAGCAAGTTAAAACAAACCATTTAAAATTAATAAAAACACAAAAATATAATCACAACACCAGGCACACTACAATAACTTTATGGAACATGGTTTACTTTATCAATGTCAGAAGCTTGAACTACAGAGAGTTATAAAACAGATTACTCTTCTTTGAACGTGGTAGGAGCAATGTGGGGGGCAATAGTGGGGGCATGGACAGAGAGATTGATATATATATATTAGACTATAGTATAAGTGTATCTCAAGGCATACACTACCTGCCTTTCTAAAGTCTGAAATCTTCCACAGCTTGAGAGCATCAAGCATCTGTTCCAAAGTGGCATCAACATCCAGTCCAGGATGTTTGAATAACTCTTACACATGAAGGGCAAGAGTCCTGCTAGCTCCTGATGGAACTAATTTATTGTAATGGTAGAAAGAGCCTGTGTTTTAACTGGAAGGATAATGTCCTCAGTCTGTTCTCACTTTTTTAAGGGATGGTAAGGCTGTGTGCTTATATTTGCTGTTCTTCACTGAGTAATTATAGTGGTCTTCAACTCCCATTGGAACTGATTCCCTTCTGATTTGCTTTTACAAACATTACTGATCTGATATAGTTTATTGTTAGCACATAACAACACCATTTATCAGCTTCATTTGTGCTGATGTCTCCATGCTGGAATAGAACCATAAAACAGAATGTAGATGGCTGAGCTTTTGATGATGGAAGATGTCTCCCAGATAAAGGCAGATGCAGGCTGAGTGAGCAGAACAGCTAGCTACATGTGTGCACAGATTTTCATGAAAAGCGGGACACAGTGAGAGAGGCAGACACAAAGTGTGCATATCATCTGTGTTATGAATTTTGTATGGGGCTGTTTATTCTTTAGGTTGGACAGGGAAAAACAAATTCTGAACTTAAAATTTATAGTAATTTATACAGCTTATTGTGCATAAATATGCATTGTTAATTCTTGGTTCTGAGTTTTCATAATGTTTGACATATGGAGCAGACATGGTGATATGACAGGGAAAGTCAAATATGGTCAAGGATGTGTGACTTGAATCCATGAGTGGGGACAAGTTAAGAAGGTTGCCCTCTTAATATGGAAGTGGCTGTGCATCTTACCTGAACAAGTATAATTCATTACTGTATCCTGAGCCAAAAACATCATTGGTTTTTAAAAATTAAAAAGAACACAGAGATGCTCAATAGCCCACCTAGTGTACCTTGTATGCACTGTTACATTCAAGGGATCACAAAGATAATGTCAGTTCTCTCCCTGAGGTGATAATCAACATTTTCATTTCCACAAAATAAGACAGTATGTCTAAACTCAACTGCATTGTTCTCATACTCCCAGCTTTTGACTTCTGAAGTCCAGCTGGGGTGATCCATGCATGCTGCCAGCTAGCTGCTTCCCTGTCTCCTATATGCTCCTGGGTATGCAATCAGCTAGACAAATATAATGTATGAGCAAGCAAGGAACTGAACCCCATGGTACACTGTGGTGAGATAGCAACTGCTCCAAAAAGTGTTGGTGCAGTTGTAGAAACTACAATATAATCTGTGGAGCTTTAAAAATTATCTTTTTGGACTACAATTCTATGCTGGCTGGGAGATTCAGAGAGCTGTCATCAAAACAGTAGCTTTTCCAAACTTCAAGAGTATGTGCATACTACATTACTGCTATGTCTCACCTGATGTGTCTCTGTGCAGTCCAATAGACAAAAACAGTTAGGAAGTGCTTGGAGCATTCCATTGACCTGGGCGGGCCTTCCTATTATATTTTTCCTCTTCCATTGCAGATCTGCACCCCATCTGTTCACCTTTCTTCTATTTGTGTTCAATCCCATAAATTTCCCTGCATCTTTCTTTTCCTTCAAGGCTCTCTTCTCTGTCTCCTCCTTTCTTTCCCATGTCCAGTGCAAATTACACATTGCAAGGTAATATATGCCAATGTTATTTAGGTTTAGCTCTGTTGGTTTAAAAAACCCAGCTCTGATAAGGACACTTGTGTCTGAATAAATGGTGCTGGGGAGGATGCTTAATTTTTTATTTTATTTTATTTATTGCTGCCTACCATTTTTCTGCAGTAGCTCCCCTTCCCTCAGGTGCTTTTCCCTCCTGCTGGATTCCAGTTGTAGGTGTAAAAAAGTGTAAAAGGAATGGCTTTTGCTGAATCAAAATAGAAACAAGAGCAGGGAGCAATTAGTTTACTTAAGCACTATTCTTTGGTCCTTCCATCCTTTCAGAATGAAATGATCAGTCGGCAAATCCAGAAAGAGATCTGGCGAATCCAGGATGTGATGGAAGGACTGAGGAAGAACAATCCCTCTCGGGGCACAGACACTGCAAAGCACAGAGGTAAGAACTACTCCTTCCTTTTCTAGATTCGGAGTTTCTATGCTTAGGTGAGGAGAAGCAAAGAGAAGGGGTGGTTATTATCTGAATGTCTGCCACTCATTTCACAACAGGTATGTCTATAATTTGTTGTCTGCCATCTACTTGAATTTCTTCTTTGCCGTTGCAGTTGATGTAGGAATAGTGTTTAGTTTAGTTTAATGCCATAACTTGTGTCAAGAGTTGTTCCAATGTTAAGAAATTATTCACATTTATTGGGCAATACTAAACATCCAGGCTCATAAGTAGAACTCTGCTGATGGGTCTTTGGTGCCAGATTTCTGAGACTCCCCTAATCATCAAAACTTCTGCCAAACGCCCACCCAGTTACCAGATTTAGTGCTGGATCCACACACACCCCAGATCAAGCCTATACTTTACTCACCACCAACCCTGTTCCTCTGCATTGGTGAAGTAATACTTTAGAATGGGAGGAAAGCTCAGGAAACTTGTCTTGGGAGGGCTAGTAAGGTGAGCGGTAGCAGTGGCTACAGCAAGAGATAGTGTTTCTGGCTCAGCTCCACTCTGTCATCTATTTAGCATCTTCAATCAATGTGGGGTAGTAACTTTAATGGACCACTAAAATAACATTTTAAATAAACTTCTGTAGTTTCTAGGACTCACCTTCCCAGGGCTCAGCTGACTAATCTGATAAACAGGTTTGCTTGTGGACCATATTGTTGTATTTTTGTTTTGTTTCACTATCAAAAATTCTCCAAAATATCAATGTCTAGCCGGATATTGCACCATCCTACCACAATGCACATACTACCCTGGACCACCACAGCATCCTGAACATACTAATCTCACCTAGCACCACAAGCTAAGCAGGATGGCACTCTCTTGGCAGTTTACAGTTTAATTATGCAGACTACACTTTCTCCATCCCCAGTGAGCTGGGTATTAAATTTTGTGACCTTGGAAGGCTGTGAACCTCAAGCTGGCTTAAACCCAGGCCATGACCAGAGTTTTGCTGCAGTTGGACAGTGTCATTGAAGCCACCAACATGAATTTGACCAAACATTGGGAGGCAGTGGAAGACAGGAGGGCCTGGCATGCTCTGGTCCATGGGGTCACGAAGAGTCGGACATGACTTAATGACTAAACAACAACAACTGGAGTTTAACCACTGTGACACAAAATATAAAGCAGCTTCTTGTATTTCTATATTCCTGTGACATTTTCATCAGACAGGCAGCTAAGACAAAGTGACTGGAGCATGTTGACTTCTTCCAGAGGGCCACCATTATCCATGTAAACTTGGCTAACTTGTTAGGAACTCTTTTGACTCCAGGCCATAAAACAATTATCCAGTCATACCAGGTTTTGATGGCAGCCCTGCAGATTTGAGACTTATCATGTGGCCTTTGAGTTTTACGTAGTTTTTAAAAAAACAAACTTGGGCTAAATTTTGAGAGAGGATTCTGCAGTACTTAAAAGATATATAACTCTGGGAGAAAGAAGAATGCCTACACATGGGACTTGAGTCAGATTCTAAATGTGATTTGAGAAAATGTACTTTCAAAATCACTGCTCATACATTTCGTTTTGTGAGTGAGTGTGCTGCATGCAAATAATGAAAAACAATGGGAAATGCCCCTTGAGTTCAGTGGAGGTTTTAAAGACTTTTAACAAGCTAAGAAGAATATCTGCCCACAGAATTTTGCATGTCCATTTGCACTGAGTGTGCACAGAATGTTGGGCTCAGCCCTAGAAATCAATGTACGTCTTGTTTGCCCCACCAGGCATTTGGTTTTTGCCTAACAGGCCTGAGGTTCTTTGTCAGCAGCTGTTCACCTGTTTTCCAAAAATGCTATTACCCATCTTATCTATATATCATCAAATTATTTGTTTAACTTGAGTTTTTTGTGGTAATATTGCATCTTTGCACTTTAAAAAGTGTTTTGAATATTTTACCTCATCTATCAAAATAAACTAGGCAAATGAATACTAAAATAACACATAACCATTGATAGGATTCATGGATATGCTTAACTTTCTTAAGTGATTAGATTTCTGGTGGGTAATACCACATCTGTGGCAACAAATTCTATAAATGTAGTGTGAAGCAATTCTCATACTCTTTTTATTTCTTTTGTTTTTCTTTGAATCTAATCTCATCCAGTCAATTCACCAAACTGTTCAATTGCTGTGTATACTTTCTCCATCCTATGCATAATTTTATAAACCCTCATCCCTCTATCATTTCAATTCCCTCCGTATCGTCTTTGAGATGATGGATGTGTGCACATGTATGCACATGTGTGCAATCTGAATCATATACATTATTCCAAAGACAGCTCATGTTTCCTGAGTGTGTAAGTCAACCTATAACTCTCAACCAACATTAGAGACTTCTATACAGTATATCTAACACCCTCCAGTGATTTCCATCTCACTAAAACTAACACCAGTTGACTACGATGAATGGTGAAATTGTTATAGTATTCTCCATGCAGCTGCATAAACATGAGTAGAAGCTTTTTACTCTTACATCCATATAAGGAAAAAGGTCACAAGTGAGAGATGAGTCTCAATAGCAAAAAGGTTTCAAAAGCAGTTTGAACATTGTTTTCTAGCCATAATGATGTGTAAATAGCTACATATTATTTACCCATGGCAAATAGGAAAACACTAAGTATGTTCCCTGCTTAACCAAGAAATGAGAAATCTTTACCAATCTATGACATAAACTAGAGGAAAATAAAATACTCAAAAGCTATTGTGGAAGGATAATTCTGCTTTCAAAATGGCCCTATACAATGGTTTACTACTGGTTTTTAAAAGGTCTTTCCCAATATTTTTTTTCCAATGAAGAATTCATTCTCTAAATTCATTCTCATTGAGAGCTTGGAAAAGTTTTTTTCTTTTTACTACATTTCCCAGAATCCCTCAGTCAGCCTGGCCAGTTCTTGGAGTTGTAATCCAAAACACACACATACTAACTTCCCCAAATTCTGGCACACACAAATTTTCTATCTATCTCTATCTTGTCCTTAAGCAAATCCATCTCAGAATGGAAATGCAGAGATGGTTTAGTCATTATCTTTCCTTACTGTCGTTGTTCTGCAGTGAACCTTGGCCCATCCGGAACTTACAGCTCCAACAGTCCAGCCAGCCCATTGAGCTCAGCCAGCCTCACCAGTCCCTTGAGCCCTTTCTCTCTTGTCTCAGGGTCCCAGAGCTCCCCCACCAAGCAAGGCAGCAATGAGGTAAGTGAACTAAAGCAACTTATACGCAGTAGTTAGAGAAAATGCAGCAAAATAGGAGAGGAAGAGGAGGGGGACTATGACAGCATGGAAGTAAAATGCTTTGGGATACTTACATTTGATGATTAGCATTCCACCAGTAGGTGTCAACCCAGATAGCACTCAGAAAAAAAAGGGTTTGGAGCTTTGCTTAGAACTCTTCATATGTTGAGTGCATTCATCCTTTAACTCCAGTAGCAATGCTGATATCAGGCCAAAAGGTGCACCAGAAAAAAATAGAAAATGTTAAGGTAAAAGCATCCTGTTGCAGGGCAAAGGTAGGTGAGACACCGAGCTATAACAGGGGTAGGTGTATGACCAGGGTGGGACTGCCCCCATTGCTATTTTGATGTAAGAGTATATGCACAGCCTGTGCTGATCCTCCTAAAACAACAAGGTTCTTAAGCCAGGACTGGCATCCTAATTACAAACAGAAGGTAACTTCAGGGTTGCATCAGGGTGCCCTTTCAGTATGTGGTTTCATGTGCCTCTTATTGGTTTTTTTTAAAAAAATACTCTTGAGAAATGAAATGTCATGGTCCAGAAGCTGATCTCTCTCCAAAATATAGTCACTTTCATTTCTCTATTGACTTTTATTTTATTATGGGAAATCCATTGAAATTAGCAATTAGGGTAATAATTAGCTGGTTGTTTGGCCTGTGGCAAGGCTCCCTCCTTTCCTCTATCATGTTTACTATCTGGTAGCTAATGGCGGATCAATGTTGCTAGCATCACCATAGTATTAAAGAGGAAGTTACCCCTCCTGCTTTTCAGGAATATTTGGAATGCAACCTTAGAGAGCTTTATGCCCTCTGATGCCTGTAAACCAATGGTGTGGCACAGAGAAAAGCTCACTATGCAGTGACAAGTGCTCTGTAATACAATATCAAGTGGTCTCCATATGATATGCACATGTATGTTGCATATATAACTGCAATGGCCATGCATCGTAAGCAGGGAAACTCCAAGCATCTGAAAGTGTTTGAATGACATGGTAGTAGTTGTTAGGTGATGTGAACTTTGCAGCCTGCTGTCCTTGTTCTTGCACCATGCAGCAGCCTTTTGTAAATTATCATAAATGGAAGCTTGACCTATTTACTTGGCCCCCTAAGGGAAAATTGGTCAAATGTGATCGTGCCCATATTACTTCCTTGCCTGGGAAACATATTGCCAACATCAGTGCACTTTGTCCATTTTAGAAGGACAGCTCAAATGTCTTGAGTGAAATGTCCAGCTTAAGGGTGTACGGCTTCAAAGGGCTCAGACCGCATTTGACATCAAACCCCCCAATCAACCACCCACCTCAACCCCCTCACATTTCATCTCTATGCATGTGTGGGACCATCACTTCCTGCATTGCTAAGACCTTGTGATGTGAATGCACATGGAATCACCACCACCGGGCTTTCCAAACTGACAGCAGCATTGTCCTCAGATGTCACTTCACATTGGATGGCAAGCAGAAGACTGTGTGAGAAACCAAAAATATCTGTGCTTTGGATAAGGTTCCAGGAAAAATATGCATTTTTATTTCAAAATGGCAGGTATTTTTGAAGCAGCTGCAAATTTTCCTTCACACTCTGTACATGGCATGTTTGGTGACACTGGGCTGATTGAGGGCTTCCATGTTTTGATACAGGGTTGTCTAGCAAAGCAAAACACTGGCTATATGAAATCTGGGTTCATGGGGTATTCAGTTGCAGCTGCCTTGTCCTGAGTTGTACACTTGTCTCTATTTGAGTCTTGTGTCTCACTAATTCTCTTTTCCTTCCCATTCTCACAGTTTCTCTGATCTTTCTCCTAACACTTCTTGGCTTCCTCTCTGCTCCAGGAGCCTGGTCCACCTCGACCTCCCCTCCCCAAATCATATGTGCCCTTGGAATCTCCTCCGACTGTCCCTCCACTCCCTATCGAAAGCCGCCTCTGGCCGTATCCTACCTCCCCTTCCTGGCAGCAAAGCAGCGAGGCGAAGAGGGGACAGGTATCATAATAGACTCTGAGAGTTGGAGGCATGCTCTGTCCTTTTGCCACACTCAGGAGAAACGGAGGCAGGGGAAGGGATATGGAGGCAATTGGCAAAAAAAAAAAAAAAAGACATTTCCAGAGAGTAGCCATTTCAGTCTGCATCTCTTGTTGCAAAACAACAAAGAGTCTCGTCACATGCTTTCGAGAACTATGGCCCACTTCTTCAGATGGCTCTATACAGTCAATGAAAGCTTTGGCCAAATTAAACTTGTTAATCTTTAAGGTGACACTGGACTCTTTGTTGGTTAACAAGGGCACCTGTCTCAGCCCTTAAAGTCATGATGGACGATAAGGGCAGTTTCACATATGGTATGCTCCCTGTATGTGGATTATATCCGGGTATGAAGAATGTAATCTACCAAGCAGCTTCTAGGAGCAATTTGCCTTTCTGACAACATAAGGAGCTACATTCTCTGAATGATTGCTCGTGATGTGCCTGAACTATGGATGAGGACAGACGTCAGGAGCAGAGCTTGGGCAAGTGACTTTTTAAGACCAGATATCCCGGAATTCCTGTGGCCAGCATGTCCTGTCTCCATGCTAGGTGGCCAGTTCCTGGAACTGCAGTCTAAAAAGATTACCTGTCCAAACTTCAGGCAGGAGTAAGGCTTGTATTTCAAGCTAGAGACTGTGTCCAGAAATGTGATAGTTTTGCTTTCCCAAATAGCGGAGGTCCTTTTGAATAAGGGAACTGTTGCTTGGTAAATACACATTCCATTATTTGCATTAAGCAAAGACATTCTGCAGTTGTTTTAAACGATACAGCCCTCTGCAGGAACAAGTTGTAGCAAGCCCCAGGCTCATGTGGCTTCTCCTCCTTCCTTCTCCAGCACGACTACAAGAATTACAGAAACTTTTACTTCTGATTTAACCACAGTGTTTTTTTTTCCAGACTAAACTCTGTTTAATTTTAACTATGGTTTGCTGAGACAACTCAGCTGATAACCCATGGTTTGATATTGACTTGTTTCAGACAAGCCAAATTTAAGACAGACACAATTATGATTTTGTATAGTATCCAATGGTGGACAGATTTTCTACGCCTTCACTGACTGCTTTATCCTGTTGAAGAATTACAGGCAATCCATGCACACCAGCAAGAATTTCATGAACAATTTCTCTAAGAATAAGTCTCAGCTTAGTTTCTAACATAATTTATAATATTTCTCAGTTCTGCCGTGCTCAATTTGATCTGCATTGGGATAGAGGAACCTGTGATCCTCCAAATGTTATTGGACAACAGCAACAATATTCCCTGAATATAAACTATGTTGGCTGATGCAGATATGAGTTGGAGATCAGCAGCATTAGGAGGGTCACTGGCTCTCCAATCCTGAGAAAACCCCCACAAAAGCAGCTGAAATGTTTTAAAGCTGCTAGGCGTTTTGTTCATATCAGTGTTGAGAAGAGATACCATTGTGATCTCATACAACCTGGTCTGGGAGATGCAGTTGTAACAGGCCAATTTTCCAAATACAGTAAGTTGAAGAAGAAAATCTGCAGACCTTTTGTTTCTCAGGCCTTAAAACTGCCCCTGCTTTCCTGTGTGCTTTCCACAGGCTTTCCAACATGAGATAGATGACTTGGGGAATACAGTAAAACCCCCCCCCCCAAAAAAAAACAAATATGGGAAAGAGGGAAAGAGAAAGAAAGGAATTATATATTTTTAATGTAAAAATGGTGTGAATTTGACTTTTTAGCCCAAATGTCCCCCCCCCGCCCAGTTTTAACATGAACAGCTCTTTCAAAAGTTTAATGAAAGAAATATTTTTGATATTTTTCACTTGGTTTAGTTGTCTTAGCAGCCAATGTGGAAGCTGTTATAATACACATAAAAATGACCAGACTGATAAGTTGCTTGGTCCAACATATTTGCACTGGCCGATTTTATGTTCTTTATTTTCTCTAGCTTTTATTTCTGTTTCTTCCATCTTGCCACTCACCCTCTGAAAAAGTAGTTTAAGCTCCTAGCAGAGACTGCCTGCAAGGATGCTCCAGAGATGAAGCAGAACAAGGAAGACGGGCAGGATTTTGTCTAGAATTGTTAGGTGCCCCATTTTCAATAAGAGGAAAGTTCTCGGCAGGAAAAAAAAAAGCTTCTTCACACTGTTGGTGCTGTTGCTTACTTTCCCATCAGTAGCACAGTGATTTATCCTAAAACTATGTTGCCCATGAACTCTTTCTAGTTTTCATTTGTAGGGGTGGGGTAATAGTATGAGCTTAGTTTTCATTCACCAATGTTTGTATCAGCCTGGAATGACTAACTCCTCTGTGCAACTGCAAGGATGAACTTCAGTTGAGTAAAGCCCAGAGGAAACATTTCCACAAACTTTAATGAAGTTTGTGCTTGGGCTGGTAAAAAAAAAAAGATTTTGCAAAGCAGGGACTCTGGTAAGCACCGTTGCCTATACGATAAGTTGCCTGACATTTAGGACAGGGATAAAGAAAATCCTCTTACTCTAATTCATGTCCCTAAATGCAGGTCCTTTGAACAGAATTGACTCCATATCACCATCGTTGGCTTGCTTCTGAGTCTTCAGATATAAGTCAAGCATGAATTTCCCCTACCTTTTTTCTCTAAAAACTGAGGAAAATTTACTTTTTTGGATTGTATGCCCCAGAATATCCCTGCCAACATGGCCACTGACAATGCTGCCTGAGGAATTCTGACAGGCATAGTCTAAAAGTAAATTTTCCATCTCTGATTTTACTCTAACAGATTGATTCTTGATCACTGAGTGCTTCTGACGTTTTTTAATAATGGGGATAAAAGCCTGCACAAGTAATTTTTCTGGTTGACTGTGTCCTTTCCCTTTTTCTTTGTGGCCTTTCTGTTCACTTTTGGTATGTGTGTCTTTGACTGAGTTTTGTGTAGTTAAGGCAACAGGCAGCTGTCTGGAGGCAGGACTTCTTCTCAGCTCTCCCCATAGCTCCTCACTAGACATGTATTTGCTCAACAGTCCAAATCCAGCTTTGAGCAGAGCAAGAAGGACCATCATGGGGCATCAGCTTCAACTTCTACAGCAGAGACTGGGCTCTTACAGACAAGGCAGGACCACGACGCCGAAAAGCAAGTTGCTCTCAACAAAGGTACCCGTACACATGCAGGATTTTAGGAGAAGGCCTATTTGTTTCACTGATACTTCTGTTCCTCTAATTTAGCGCTTCCCAACCTGCTGCCCTCCAACTGTGTTAGACTACAAGTCCCAGCGTTCCTAGTCGGCATTGGCCATGCTTGGCTGAGAATTATGGGAACTCTAGCCCAACTAGGTTTGGAAAGTTACTTTTGAAAAACTAATATTACAGTTTCTACCCATCTCCATTGTTAGTCATCATCAGAATTATGAATCTGAAAGTGTCCTTTTACTTCCCCATTTTGTAGAATAACAGTTTTTGGTTTTTGGTTTTAAATGAGAATGCTATAATCTGCTGGTCTATAGTCCACACCTATGCTCTTATAACTGTAAAAGGGGTTAAGAACTATTTCACCCGAGGACTAAGTCGCCCCTGAATGAAGACAGCACACACTACAAAAGAAGTAAGGGCATCTGTCATTACTGGTAGCACATTGTCTAAGCTTGGGACAAATTGTCAGCCATTCAGAAAATAAACGTTCATGTTTTATACCAATATTTTAAATGAAAATGTTCTATTTCCATTGACAGTTTTTGTTGTCAAATCCCTCTGTCCCCACCATTTATTAACTGAGCATAATGTAACTGTATATATTGGGGATGGGAATGGAAGATGGTTTGGGAGAGTGGCCATCATTCCTCACAAGGAAGAGGTAGGAATGTCCCAGGTCAGATAAGCAGTGATGTCTATATGTATTATTACTAGCAGAAATCTGCCTTTCCCCCTTGCTAATCTCTCTCTCATTCTTTCTCTCTCTCTGCCTGCATTCTCCCAGTTGGCATTGTTCCACCGAGGACCAAGTCACCCTTGGATGATGACATCACCCCAACATCAGGTGTGGTGAGAAGGAGTGTCAGCAACCTGTCCAATGGACTAAACTCCCGCGTAAGGCTAAACCTTAATTATTTTTCATTTCTTCAAAAACAAAATACAACAGCAAAACAAACATTGCTCTATAGCAAATGTCTCTTTGAACAAAGTAAAATTTTAAAAGTACAACTCAAAACATGCATTCACAATGAATCAAAACAGCAGTACAAAGAAACAGCCGTTTCAAACAAAAGAGTCTGAGATGAAAGAGGCATTAATTGCAAAGTGGATGGTGTCACCAAGCTAAAATTGCTTTAGCACAATAACAGCAATGACAGGGTTGAGAATATAAAAGAGCCCCCCAAATGAAATGATATTGGCAATGAAATGGCACAAAAATCAGTGTTAACTGGACCTCTCTAGGGAAGGCAGGGCATACCATAGAAAAGGCCTGTTGTTGAGAGCAGAGCCTGTCATAATGACCTCTCAGGCCTCATGTCAGCAAAGAGAAAACCCATCAAAAAGAAATTCCAATTCCAAATTGTGAAATGTTCATAGCAGAGGTAGGCAGAGTCAGCAGGCTGCATGAAATCCCATAACCATTTATGGGGACCGTATCCCAAAGTTCTCCTCTTCCAATGCCCACTATGCCAAATTTTTGGTGCCCAGAACATTTTCTTTCAGTTGCCTTCAAAGGTTATGGCTTTTGTATAGTGGGATTCGAAGCATTCTTCCCAACCCTATCAAAATGAGCACTGAACATCATATGCGCGCGCACACCTCCATCTTGAGTTGTTTCCAGGCTGGATGAAAAACTAGTCTTTAGGCTCACCAAAGCTGTCCAACTTGTGTAACAATACTGTTTTGAATTAAGCCTAGAAAATATATGGGAGCCAATAAAGATACTACAGTGTTAGAGTAATATGGTTCTAGTCTTTCTCTGATAACATCTACTAAAACTGTATGACTCCTTTTGAATAGGCTCTACTAGGGGCTGATGATGGAAGGTGTCAGGAAACTTCAATGGGTCCAAAACACAGCAGCCAGATTGCTAACGGAGGCTGGACACAGTGATCACACAAGCTCCCCATTACAGCAGCTCCACTGGCTACCATTCTGTTTCCAGGCAACATTCAAACTGATTGTTCTAACCTATAAAGCCTTGAATAGCTTGCATCCAAGCTATCTAAAAGACCACATCGCCCTTTATGAGCCTGCTCGAGTGTTAAGATCATCAGGACAGGCCTTCTTCTCAGTCCCGCCACCTTCACAGGTACATCTGGTGAGGACACGGGAGAGGGCCTTCTCTGTTGCTGCTCCCAGACTCTAGAATTCCCTCCCACAGGAGGATAGGCTGGCCCCATCTTGACTGTCCTTCCACAAGCAAGCAAAGATGTTTCTCTGCAGGCAATCAATGAATGCCTGCTGAGTGGCGTTTTAAAAATGGATTGTTGTACCTTACTGCACTGAATTTGTTTCAGTGTTGCTTTTGTTTTTCTGTATTGTATTCATCGATCCTTTCAGTATTGTGCAATCATTGTTAGTAACTTAAATAGCCACCTTGGGTTCTTTGTAAAGAGAAAGGCAGGTTGAAAATATTTTAAACAGAGAGAGAGAGCGATAGGCTAACCTCAACAGTTAAGCACAGTAGCATCAATGCAGAAGTGCTATATATGAATCTTTTCTACTGGCACATTGAGCAATGGGTTGCAATAGCGTGACTGACCGGGCAATCAAATTGCACAATCTGTGATGCTTGGGTGTAACACCCACACAAGATATGCCTGTGTACATTACTTGGCAGCAGACTTGATTGTGGTCAATTTGTGATGTGACATTGTGGCCCTCTTGCTCCGTGTCATTGGCCGCCATTTGTTGAGTTATAGAAACTCTAAATGACATTCCATTTTTACCTTTCTTTCAGTCAGCCCTTCAAAAGAAAATAGAGAATTAGGTGTGCTGTCTTGTTCCTCACCATCTTGTCTGTTTTTGTCCTTAGCCACAAGCTCTAATCTTTCTCTGACTGAAAAGAAGCATTGTCAGAAAAGACCCACAAGAATTTTCCTATACTAACATTACATGTTATCTTGCAGTGCTTCAGAACTCCCTGCTACAATACTGTACAACTTAGCTATAGCATCGCCTTTTTCTTTATATGTCTGTTTTTTTTCTTAATTGTAGCTATTACTGAAGTTTTGATTCTGAAAACATGTGGGCTGCCATAAGCTCACAGCTACATAGTGCTGCCAAATGAATGCTGCCTCCTCCTCATTGTCATCATCATTAGCATAGTAATGTCCCTACTGTTCCAACTTTTCTTTCCAAATCTCTCATCTAATTTGGTATCACTCAAGCCTTATTCAACTGTTATTTACTTCACTTTATCCAGGATGTGGGCAGGGGAGTGCCTAATGCCATCCTCCTCTATTGCCATTTTCCTTGTGTAAAAAACAATATACTTGAAAATGAGGGATTCCTGCGGCAGCCTTTTCCATCATTAAGTGTCTTGGTTCTTGAGTGTTCCTGCTTCCATAACAAACTTCCATGCAGGCAGGG